CGACAAAAAAAAAAAAGACAATTACATAATAATTTGTATACTTAAAAATATTGGAACAAAGTTTTGATGAATTTTATAGAATGACAGAATTTGCCAGACCCTGGTGACTCACGCCTGTAATCCTAGCTGCTTAGGAGGCTGATACTTGAGGATAGTGGTTCAAAGCCAGCAGCAAAGTCCATGAGACTCTTATCTCTAGTTAACTATCAGAAAACTGGAAGTTGTGCTGTAGCTCAAAGTGGTAAAGCATAGCCTTCAGCAAAAGAGCTCAGGGATAACACTAAGGCCCTGGGTTCAAGTTCCATATCTCTCAAACAAAAAAATGGAAAAAGATTTACTTTTTGTGACATAGCCCAGATTGGTTTTGAATATGAAATCCTCTTGCCTCAGCCTATCCATTAGAGAGGCTGGGATTACAGGCGTGTACTACCATACCTGGCTATCTGGAAGTCTTAATCAATGAATAGTCATCTTTTTGTAGGTTATCACTTTAAAAAAATTTGCTTGAGCTGGGCGCCGGGGTGGCCTGTAATCCTAGCTACTCAGGAGGCTGAGATCTGAGGATCGTGGTTCAAAGCTAGCCCAGGCAGGAAAGTCCGAGAGACTCTTATCTCCAATAAACCACTAGAAAACCAGAAGTGTCACTGTGGCTCAAGCGGTAGACTGCTTGCCGTGAGCTGAAGAGCTGAGGGACAGCGCCCAAGCTGAGAGTTCAAGCTCCATGACCAAAAAAAAAAATTGTTAATTTAGTCATAAAATAGCTTTCAAGTTTAGTCACTTGAGTCTTTGATCCCTACAACATGAACTTTTTTTTTTTTTTTTCCTCATTCTCTCTAATGTATCCTCTTAAACTCCTCAGGTACTTTCTTCTTAGGGTTTAGAGAAAACAAACACTAGTCTGTTTTTTTGTTTTTTATTCTATTTTTTGTTTTTGGTGGTGGTGGGGCTTGAACTTAGGGCCTGGGTGTTATCTCTGAGCTGTTTTTGCTCAAGGCTATCACTCTACCACTTTGAACACAGTGCCACTTCTGGTATTCTGGTGGTTAATTAGAGATAAGAGTCTTAGGGACTTTCTTGCCTGGTCTGGCTTTGAACTCTGAGTAGCTAGCCTCCTGAGTAGCTAGGATATAGGTTTGAACCATCAGCGCCACTAGTCTGCTTTAAAAAATATTGTTACTCATTGTCTTGTGGTGGCCACTGACATCAGAGGAGCAGACAGAACCGGCTATAGGCCAGTTCAACACATTCTCAACATTTTACATGTGTGAACTCAGTCTGTTCAGCCTACTGTACAAAATACCTTAGGCTCAGAATACATAAACAACAGCAGTCTATTGTTTATATTTCTTGGGCTTCTGCAACTTTGTGTGGCTCACTAATACAAGTCCAGGAGGCCTTAGGCTTTCCCTGATGGCTTTTTCCAAGACAGCTCTTCCTGTACAGCATCACTTCCTGCCTACCTGGTATGTTGCTTTCCTGTCCTTTCCAACTCCTTGATTCCAGTCTCTATTAGGGCACAGGCTGTGCTGTCTCACTTTGTTTTTATGAGATCTATTTGTAGACAGGAATTCATTGAAAATGTATAGCATCAATAAATACAGTATTTCATTTAATCCTCATTTTAAAAGCCCTTGAGAGATGTTACTGTCCCCTTATAGATGAAGAAATTAAATTCAGAGAGGTTGTGTTACATCCTGAGATAATGATAAGTCTTTTGAATGGTAGGATGGTTAAGAATGTATGCTTCGGGCTGGGAAGTTGGCTCAGTGGTAGAGTGCTTGCTTTGCATGCATGAGGCCTTGGGTTCCATTCCTTAGCACCACATTTGCAGAAAAAAGCCGGAAGTGGCGCTGTGGCTCAAGTGGTGGTGTGCTAGCCATGAGCTGAACAGCTGAGGGACAGCGCTTAGGCCCAGAGTTCAGCCCCCATGACTGACCAAAAAAAAAATGTATGCTTCATCAATTAACACTAAATATTTACTAAATTCCTGTTGGATGACTATATGATTGAGTTTCTAGTCTAGATATTTAAACAAATTGTAACTACTGTCTTTCTATTAGGGTAGAGAGAGTGTACAAAGTTGTGTTAATTTACCTAGACATTTGGCCACGTACTATACTTTTTTCTTTACTGTGATTTCTACCCCTATCATTATTAATGCAGTATTATGCACTAATGACCTCTGGGGCCACAGCACTGACTCCTTTCAAATCTGATCACTAACTTGTTCCATTAATCATTTAGGTATTTTTCTTTTTTTGGAGGCACTACCAGGGATTGAACTCTCAGGGTCTAGTGCTTGCTTAGCTTTGCTTCCTTGGCTGGCACTTAAGCCATGCTTCTAGCCCTACTGTTTGCTGGTTAATTAGAGATGGAGTCTGGCAGATTTTTTTGCCTATGCTGGCTTCAAACTACAATCCTCTAGATCTCAGCCTTCTGAGTAATTAGCCACTAGTGCTTGTCCCTGGTCCAAGTATTATCAGCTTTAACTGACTGCCCAAATCTTGGAATACAGCCTATTTCAGTGGATCTAATGTGCAGGTTAGAAGTGGAATCTGACCTAAAGATAAAGGTCATTGATGGTTTTTGTCATTGTTATTTTTTGTTTGTTTTATTTTGATGGTACTGGACTTGAGCTCAGGGCTTAGGCACTGTCCCTATACTTCTTCTGCACTAGGCTAGTGCTATGCCACTTGAGCCACAGTACCACTTCCAGTCCTTTCTGAATAGTTTTTTGGAGATGAGAGTCTCATGGACTTTCCTGCTCAGGTTGGCTTCTAAGCACGATTTTCAGATCTCAGCCTCCTGAGTAGCTAGGATTACAGATATGAACTACTAGCATCCAGCAAGGTCATTGAGTTTTTACTCCCTAGCTCACTGAGTTTTGACATCATTGAAAATGGTAGTGAAAGTACGCTATCTGCTCTATAACCTGGCTTAAAAAGAAGTCAAAACTACTCTCTGTCTACTCCAGTTGCCATTGCTTTTTCTATTTTACTTTAAGTTAGAGGATGGCTGCTTGAATATGAAATTGACTCTTCTGTACTTCTGTTTTCAGCTTCAGCTCCAGTAGAAAAAACAATATCCAGTGAAAAAGCTTCAAGCACTCCATCTCCTGAGACTCAAGAGGAATTTGTGGATGACTTTCGAGTAGGGGAACGTGTTTGGGTGAATGGGAATAAGCCTGGGTTTATCCAGTTTCTTGGAGAAACCCAGTTTGCACCAGGCCAGTGGGCTGGAATTGTTTTAGATGAACCCATAGGCAAGAATGATGGTTCTGTAGCAGGAGTTCGGTATTTTCAGTGTGAACCTTTAAAGGGCATATTTACCCGACCTTCAAAGTTAACAAGAAAAGTACAAGCGGAAGATGAAGCCAATGGCTTGCAGATGGCTCATGCATCCAGAACTGCTTCTCCTTTGTCCACTTCTGCAGCTAGCATGATGTCCACTTCCCAGGCCACTCCCTCAAATATTCCCCATAAATCATCCCAGCCAACAGCAAAGGAAACAGCCACACCTCAGATCAGCAACCTTACAAAAACTGCCAGTGAATCAATCTCCAACCTTTCAGAGGCTGGCTCAATAAAGAAAGGAGAACGGGAGCTCAAAATTGGAGACAGAGTATTGGTGAGTTATGCACTTATCAGAGCTACTTTGTTTTTTCCCTCTCAACCTGTGTTTTTTTTTTCCCCAATAGAAATCTTTGATTTAGAAACAGGAAACACTTTGAATCAAGGACTTCACCATAAAGCCCAGACTGGCTTAGAACTACCTCAGCCTACTAAAAGTTTGGAATTATTGGTGTGTGCCATCATGCCCAGCTTCCCTTCCTCCTGAAAGTTATTGATCACCAAAATTCTAACACAGCTGAGATTATCAGCTCTTCAGCTCAAGGAGAGCACTCTACCACTTGAGCCATAGCACCACTTCCGGTTTTCTGAGTAGTTTATTGGAGATAAGAGTCTCAGAGTTTCCTGCCCGGGCTGGCTTTGAATTGAGATTCTCCGATCTCAGCCTCCAGAGTAGGTAGGATTACAGGCATGAGCCACTGGTTTATCAGTTTATTATTATAAGAGAATTTCCCCCAGTGTCATCATCCACAGTGCTCTTAGGGTTCCTGCTATATTGGTTCAGGTTTCCTGGATTATTTACCTGAAATTATTTACCACAGCCTGTTAATACCTCTTGGAGAAAGCAGTTGTCTTGATAGTAACGTGACTTACCCCCAAAGAATTCAGCAGATTATTTGAAGAGATTACATCATGTTTAATTTGCTATGTTCTGTACATATGATTTTGGTTAAAACAGGGCTGGGTACCAGTGGCTCATGCCTGTAATATTGTATACTCAGAGTCTAAGATCTGAGGATCATGGCTCAAAACCAGCTCAGGCAGGAAAGTCCACCAGACTCTTATCTCCAGATAATCACAGAAAAAATCAGAAGTGGCATTGTGGCTCCGGTGGTAGAGCACTAGCCTTAAGCAAAAAGAAGCTGAAGGACAACACCTAAGCCCAGAGTTCTAGCCATAGGACTGGCAAAAAGAAAAAAATGAGGAAAATTAACTTCTAATACTATGAATGTAACACAATCTCATTAATCCATACAGTGGGCTGAGATATAATTATAAAACCAAGAAAGGGGTTTTCCTGTGTTTTTTTTTTAATTCTTTATCATTTGCCTTAGTTTTTTCTTTTTAATTATTTTTATTTTTATTTTTTTGGGTCCGGTCGTGGGGCCTGAACTCTAGGCCTGGGCACTATCCCTTAGCGCTTCAGCTCAAGGCTAGCGCTCTACCACTTGAGCCATAGCACCACTTCCGGCTTTTTGCTTTTTGCTTATGTGGTGCTGAGGAATCGAACCCAGGGTCTCATGCATGCAAGGCAAGCACTCTACCACTGAGCCACCTTCTCAGCCCTTTCCTGTGTTTTTTTATAGACCAAAAGTTAGTTATGGAACACTACCTTTTGTATAAAAGTCAAAAATTGGAATCCTGTCAGGAGGCTGATAAAACTGAGTGTCTTGGTTCAAAGCCAACCTGGACAAAAACATCCCGGAGACTCTTATCTCTAATCACACACAAAAAAGCTGGAAGTGGGGCTGGGAAAGTGGCTCAGTGGTAGAGTGCTTGCCTCGCAAGCATGAGGCCCTGGGTTCCATTCCTCAGCACCACATAAACAGAAAAAGCCGGAAGTGGCAATGTGGCTCAAGTGATAGAGCGCTGGCCTTGAGCTGAAGAGCTGAGGGACAGCGCCCAGGCCCAGAGTTCAGGCCCCATGACCATCCCTTCCCCACCCCCCCAAAAAAAATGCTGGAAGTGGGGCTGTGGCTCAAGTAGTAGAGTGTTAGACTTGAGCAAAAGAAGCTCAGGGACAATATCAAGCCCTGAGTTCCAGACTTGGGACTTGAGACCAGCACAAAAAACAAACAGATGAAGCCAGATGCCCGATGGCTCATGCCTGTAGTCCTTGCTACTCTGGAGGCTGAGATCTGAGGATCGTGGTTGAAAGCCAGCCTGGGCAGGAAAGGGAAAGTCTGTGAGACTCCAATAAACCACCAGAAAACTGGAAGTGGCACTGTGGCTCAAGTGTTAGAGCACTGGTCTTATGCTGAAGAGCAGAGGGACAGTGCCTGGGTCCAGAGTTTAAGCCCCATGACCAACAAAAACAAACAAACAGATGAAGCTATAGAATTATGTTTATGTTCATTTCTTCAGTTTTACCTTCTCTTCTAGGTTGGTGGCACTAAGGCTGGTGTAGTCCGATTCCTTGGGGAGACTGACTTTGCCAAGGGGGAATGGTGTGGTGTGGAATTAGATGAACCTCTTGGGAAGAATGATGGTGCGGTTGCTGGAACAAGGTAGGATTGGAATTGTATGGCATCATGTGTCCCTCTTGGACATGGTAGTGCTGAAATAGATGCCCCCACAAGTGTATAATGGAAATGAATGAGTGTTTGTAGAGCTGCACTTCTTCTTTTTTTTTTTTGGCCAATTGTGGAGCTTTAAACTCAGGGCCTGAGCTCTGTCCCTGAGCTACCACTTGAGCCATGTGCTACTTCAACCTTTTCTGAATAATTTATTGGAGATAAGAATCTCATGGGCTTGGGGCTGGGAATGTGGCTCAGTGGTAGAGCACTTGCCTTGCATGCCTGAGGCCGTGGGTTCGATTCCTCAGCACCACATAAGCAAAAAGAAAAAAAGCCGGAAGTGGCGCTGTGGCTCAAGTGGTAGAGTGCTAGCCTTGAGCTGAAGAGCTGAGGGACAGCGCCCAGGCCCAGAGTTAAGCCCCACGACTGGACCCAAAAAAAAAAAAAAGAATCTCATGGGCTTTCTTGCCCTGGCTTGCTTGGAACTTGATCCTCAGATCTTAGTCTCTTGAGATCTGGATTACAGTTGTGAGCCACGGGCACCTGGTTGAACTTTTTTTTAATTTACTTTTATCAAATGGTAGAAATATTTGTGCCCTGGGCATAGAACTTCAGTTAAATATGAGCAATCTCATGTCTATTTCATGTTGTTATTAGTGCCCTAAAACATCCTTAACCATATTTGTCAATTCACATACATGTGAATGCCGCATTGTAATATATAATAACCCCAGCTTGGAGTTAGAATTTCCAGAAAACCAGTCAACATGTTATAAGGTGGAAGAGTCCTTGGTTATAGTTGTTAGCTTTTTGAAGTTAAATTTTGTTTGCTACTGTTCTCATTGTTCTTGAAAGGTATTTTCAGTGTCAACCCAAATATGGCTTGTTTGCTCCTGTCCACAAAGTGACCAAGATTGGCTTCCCCTCTACAACACCAGCCAAAGCCAAGGCCGCCGCCGTGAGGCGTGTGATGGCCACTACGCCTGCAGGCTTGAAGCGCAGCCCATCTGCCTCCTCCCTCAGCTCCATGAGCTCTGTGGCCTCCTCTGTGAGCAGCAAGCCTAGCCGGACAGGACTAGTAAGCCTCCCTTCTTCCTTACTTTGCTCTCTGCATTCCAGGCACGCACAGCATCCTTAGTTCTGCTTTCTTATCCTTGTCCTCATTGTGGTCCATAACTAGATATGAAGTTCTGTGGAAGTCTTAAAAAATGTAATTCGGACAGACATCAAGAAGGTTTTTGAAATAGTTTTTAGTAGTACTTTGTAGATTCCTGAAGGTTAAAAATCCACTAGTACTTGGTGAATCTGTAGTAATTTGTTATTCTTTTCTCTAAAATTCTGAGGAAAGTTTCCTCAATATGTACATCTCATTTTGATTTCAAACAGTTTTAGGAACCAGAGTGTTTTGAGAAAAGGTGTGTTCTTAGAAATGTAATGTCATGTTAATACAATCTAATCTCCTGAAAGCAGTTTATGGAGTGGAGTGCTCCTGATGGAAGCCAAAGGAAGGTAGAAGGGCCTCCACTTCTGGAGCTGGAACGGTGCTGGGAAATGTCATGTGGTGTTCAGTTGTCTCTTTTTTCATCATCCCCTTGCCCATGTCCCATCTAGAGTAAAGAAAATAGAATCATCAGAATTAAAATGGTTCCTCATTGTTTTTGTTAACTTGGTATTTACTAGGGTCAAAGGTAATGACTGCTTTCACCTGACCCCTGCCCTCAACTTTATTTTCTTTTATCTGCTTCACTAAGCAGATACCTCAGAAATGGCAGTACAAAATTCTATTCCAAATGCATTTTGAATCTCTGCTTTATGATGGTGAGCTTCAGACAAGAGTTAGTTGTGGATCTCTGGTAGCAAGGTTCTAGCCCTTGATCTCATTTTGTCTTCTGTACCATGATGATTTAGCAGAGAAAGGCAGCAGTGAAGGCTAGGGGCAGGGAGTGGGGGTTGGTGGGGAGGGGGAAGGGGGAAGAGAGTGGTCCTGTTTCTCTGGAGTTTCTCTTTCTTTTTTTGGTAGTACTGTAGTTTGAACTCAGGGTCTTTTGCTTGCCAGTCAGGCACTCTACCATTTGAGGCATGCCTCCAGCCAGAGTTTTTTCCTTTTAAGTTCAGGAAAAAGAAATACTGCTTGAACTATTTCAGTTTACATCCCATAAAAAAGACTACATCCTCGTTAGAAAAAATATCAGTGGACTTTTCTGAGGAAGTCATAATAAGCGAGTGGAAAGAAGTGAAGAACAAGCTCCAGCATGTGGACAAAGCCTTGTTCAGAGAGGCTCAGCAAATTCCAATATGGACATTGTCTACTCTGCTATTCTAAGAACAATTGGGAAATACGATATTGTCCTGCTCCCACCCGTCTTTCTTCTTACATGCAAACCAGTTCTAATTTCTCTTATCTCATTTTATTTATTGAAGAAAATTGTTGAAAGAGACGAAAGTGTCTTGTGAGACTACTTGTTTCTGTGTGTCATAATGAAGGGTGGCTATAGTTTCTAAATCAAATATTACTGTGAAAGTATGAAGAAGTTATAAAATAATTGAAAGTATGATTTAAATTCTCTTGCTCAGAGATATATTTCTATCCTTGTACAGTGAAATTGAAAGAAAGATTAAAATTTAGTTTAAAAATTCAAATTTAAATTTATTTTTTTAATACCCAGTAACTTACTGGGAGTAAACACCCATTGGGCACTGGGTACCTTGTTAAACCTTGGAATACTGTTTATCACTGTGACCTTCATTTCCCATGCTTCAGTAGCTTTTCATAATACTTGCTTTTGTCTTGGCTGTAGTCAGAACTCGGCTTTGCAAAGACCTGCTATTGAAAGAAATGGAGTACAGTCTAATGTTGAAATTCTCTTGCCTTGATCTAGTCATCATGGTATAAACTAAAATTCTTCAGTATCTCTGTTTTCCTTTAAAACACATTTAAAAATCATCCTGCAGTACCCTCCAATGGCCCTTGGGTAGCTCTGCACAGGATTTGAGATTCTCACATTTAATGTTCAGTAAGATCTGTTAGGAAGCAAAAGTATAATTTAAACATATAATTAAAGTAGAAAATTGGTCAAATGACTGACAAAAACTAATCCCTTCCCTACAAATATGTTTATATAATTCAAAAAATTTCCCAAAATGAAGCAGCAAAGAGCATCTAAGTTGCCACATTTCTTTTGTAATTTCTTTAAACCTGTAGCTATAGCTTAACATAGAAATGAAAAGGATTATAGTTCAAGAAACATAGAGATTGAAAAGACAGACTTAAAGACTCTTAAGAGAAGAGCAGGAAATGTTGTATACAGTTTTCTTAGAAGAAACAGACAAGCGCCTTGGGCACTGAGACTTTTTCTTCAAAGAGACATCCCACCATCCTCCAGCCTCCACGACATCTTGGGTTTTATTGCATTTTTTGGCTCTCATAGACGTCCAATTGCTGAATTATTAAATGAAAGATACTCACTACCTTTTCAGTCTACACCCTGTGAAGAGGGCTTAATAGACTGATGAAGAGAACATTCAGGCAACAAATGAAGCTTTGTTTGCAGAAGATGAAGCAAAGTCTATTGATCTAGCCAGTGACTGCCGAGTCAAGGACTTGGATAATGCTTGTCAAGGGAGAAGGCCAGGTCCTCACTTGGAGCATTCAGAGCCTAGTATACAGAATATAATTTACTTTGTCCAGTTACCTGCTAACAGTTAGCATAGGGATTAGCAGGTGACATAACTGAACACATTCTTTTTTTTTTTATTGTGAAAATACTGTACAGAGGGGTTACAATTACATGGGCAAGATAATGTGTACATTTCTTATAAGCATTGTAGCCTCCTCCTTTGTTTCCCCTTCCCATCCCTTCCCATCCTCCCTCCCCCTTTTTTTTGTTGGGGGGGATCCAGTTGTGGGGCCTGAACTCTGGGCCTGGGCGCTGTCCCTCAGCTCTTCAGCTCAAGGCAAGCACTCTGCCACTTGAGCCACAGCGCCACTTCTGGCTTTTTTTTTTTTTTTTGCTTTTTGCTTATGTGGTGCTGAGGAGTCAAACCCAGGGCCTCATGCATGCAAGGCAAGCGCTCTACCACCGAGCCACCTTCCCAGCCCCTGAACACATTCTTGGAGTCCTAGGACCCCCCTATCCCAGTGGTCTCCCTCCCTTTGGCCCTCCTTCTTCTCCTCTGTTCTTTTTTTCTTCCTCATTTCCCCCTACCCTTTATTTTCTCTTTCTCCACAAACTTTTCTTTTCCTTTTTTTTTTGGTTGGTCTGGGGCTTGAACTCTGAGCCGGGGGCTATTCCTCAAGTCTTCAGCTCAAAACTAGTGCTCTACCACTTGAGCCACAATGCCACTTCCAGCTTTTTCTGCTTATGTGGTGCTGAGGAATTGAACCCAGGGCCTCATACATGCAAGGCAAGCGCTCTACCACTGAGCCACCTTCCCAGCCCTACACAAACTTCTTCTTTTTTTTTTTTTGTCGGTCGTGGCGTCTGAACTCTGGGCCTGCCTGCTTAGTGTCCCTCAGCTCTTCATCTGAAGGCTAGTGCTCTACCACTTGAGTGTCAGCCTTACTTCCGTCTTTTTCTGCTTATATGGTGCTGAGGAATCGAACTCAGGGCCTCATGCATGCAAGGCAAGCACTCTACCACTGAGCCATCTTCCCAGCCCCAACAAACTTCTTCCATTCCTCCAACGTTGTGTATATAATATATATGGTGTGTGTATATTTATATATATACATATATATATACACACACACACATATATACACATAGATATACATACACATAATATATATGTGTGTGTATATATGTATTTTTTTTTTTTTGTCGGTTGTGGGTCTTGAACTCTGGGCCTAGGTGCTGTCCTTCAGCTCTTCAGTTCAAGGCTAGCACTCTATACCACTTGAGTCACAGCACCACTTCTGGTTTTCTGGTGGTTAATTGGAGATAAGTGTCTTGTGGACTTTCCTGTCCAGGTTGGCTTTGAACCATGATCCTCAGATCTCAGCCTCCTTAGTAGCTAGGATTACAGGCATGAGCCACTGGCAGCCGGCACATTATATATTCTTTAAGGCATATGTATATGTGTCTGGGTATATATTTTGACATACACATACACACATATACATGCATGCACACACACACACAACACAAGGCACCACCCTTATATAACTAGCATTTACTCATCATAGCTGATTGAAGTTCTGGAGGCTGGATTCCTGGATGAAACTCTTCTGTGCTTTTTCTTTTGAATGAAAGATGAAGACAATCTTGATAAAAATTTAATCAGTTGAAGAATTTGTGGCTCCAAGGCTGATCTCTTTCTCTCTCTGCTAGTCCTGGGACTTGAACTCATGGCCTAGGCACTGTCACTAAGCTTTTTTGTTCAAGGCTAACACGGTACCAACTTGAGTCACAGTTCCACTTCTAACTTTTTGCTGATTAATTGGAGATCAGAGTCTCATGAAATTTTGTGCCCAGGCTGGACTTCGAACCATCATCTTGAACATATTTTCAGATCTCAGCCTCCTGAGTAGCTACATTACAAGTGTGTGAGGCATTGGTGCCCAACAAAGGCTGGTCTCTTTGTTACAATAGTATATAGAAGATTAAGAAGCTTTTAGAACGTTTTAGTGACAAATCTCAGGATCAAAAAGTTGCCCAAAATTTCATCACAAGAAGATAATTTATTTTATTTTTTTGGTGGTACTGAAGTTTGAACTCAAGGCCTTGTACTTACTAGGCAAGTGCTGGACCACATGAGCTATGCCTTCAGCCCAACAGCAAGATAACTATTGAGGTCAAGCTGAAGGAGTTGAGAGAAGCCTGTCAAGTGGGTACTGTGGAATTTTTCTAGATTCCTACCAGACCCAGGCAGCAAAGCTCCAAATACCTACTGTGAGCCATATAGTCACCTTACACATTGATGTTGATACGTTACTTTCCCTAATACTTCACAAACCCGTGAGCTGGGGCAACACTTTTGCTTTGCTGAGGAGAGACCTGCTGTGCATGCATCACTTGCTTCCTGCCTGCCTGATAGCACCATCGCCCTTCACCTCTCTGACTTTCCTTTGCAGTTGACTGAAACCTCTTCCCGCTATGCCCGCAAGATATCGGGTACCACTGCCCTCCAGGAGGCACTGAAGGAGAAACAGCAGCACATTGAGCAGCTGCTGGCTGAGCGGGACCTGGAGCGGGCCGAGGTGGCCAAGGCCACCAGCCACGTGGGGGAGATAGAGCAGGAGCTAGCCCTGGCCCGGGATGGGCATGACCAGGTGAAGTCTGGCATTGACTTTCTTGTGGAGATGGTGATGGTTTCTCAATGGAGTGAGGAAGCCGAAATGTGTTCTCAGAGCCAGGGAGTTAGTCTTGAGCCAGAAATGACTATCAATTTCTTTGCTGGAAAGCTGTGACTTATGTATCAGTTTCTATTGTCATAAAAATGAAGTTTTACTCTTTTTGATTCTATGTCAGCCTTTTGATCTTTATATCTAAGTCTTTGGACCCCTCTCTGTAAGTTACTTGTTTACTAGGACCTTAGCAGGTCCTGTTTGTGGATTACTATCAATTTATGTTTCACCTTTGGAAAGAAAGAGAGTTGTTGTAACATTGTCCCTTGTTGCCTGAATGGTGTGGTTTTTCATCATGTAGTTTCTAGTATTACTGTTCAGAATAAGCTATTAAAATAGAAAGTCGAGTGTGACAGGGTTGTAGAGTGATGCCCATCTACCATGGTAATACTTTCCTGGGTCTGTATCTGCACCAGAGATAGGCTGCTCACTGACATTTCTACTTCCCTAGCACGTCCTGGAATTGGAGGCCAAGATGGACCAGCTTCGAACAATGGTGGAAGCAGCTGATAGGGAGAAGGTGGAACTTCTCAATCAATTGGAAGAGGAGAAAAGGTGATCTCTTAAGTGTTCTCTGTTGCAAGTATGGCCTTTTCCTTTTCTTAGTAAAAGTTTCCTGGCAACAGTTTGATGTTGTCCACCCTTAAAACCAAAGAACCAACTTGTCTGTAGCAAAAATCAAGCTCATGCTGGATGAAGAGTGTGCTTCGATTTGACTTTATTCAAGAAGTTTGGAATCATTTAAAAATAACCTAATTCATTATAACATATATTTATTAAGTATCCCTGGATGCTAAACCGGTGTTTCCAATTTGGTATTCTGAGGGTAATTCTGGAGCTATTCCTGGTGAGGGGATATTAAGGTTATAGTTACCTAGTCTTTGTGAATTTATCCTTACATCTGATGAGTGTTGGTCCTGCGGCTTGAACTCAGGGCCTGGAACTGTTTCAGCTTTTTTGCTCAGAGATAGCACTCTTAGCACTTGAGGCACAGCTGTTTCTGGCTTTTTGGTGGTTAATTGTACATAAGTTACTAGGCTGGGGTTGAACCGTGATCATCAGATCTCTAAGTAGTGAGGGTTACAAGTGTGAGCCACTGTCACCCGACCCGTTTTTTTTTTTTTTTTTGCTGGTCCTGGGTGTTTTATTGCTCAGAGATAGCACTGGAATCACAGCTCCACTTCCAGCTCTTTTTGTGGTTAATTAGAGATAGGTCTCAGACTTCCTTGCTTAGGCTGGCTTGAAACCACAACCTCAGCCTCCTCAATAGCTAGGAATCCTTTTATTCTAATCTTGAAATAGATGTTAAAATTATCTAGGAGGTGTGAAGTCTGGGATCTCTATGCAAGAAACGCGTTAACTTCTATAAAATATCAAATGTGAAGCTAACACCTATAATCCTAGCTACTCAGGAGGCTGAGATCTGAGGATTATGGTTCAGAACCAGCCCAGGCAGGGAAGTCTGAGACTCTTATCTCCAATTAACCACCAGAAAACTGAAAGTGGTCCTGTAGCTCAAGTGATAGAGCACTTGCCTTGAGCTGAAGTGCTGAGAGACAGCGCCCAGGCCCAGAGTTCAAGCCCCACGACTGACAAAAAAAAAAAAATCAGATGTGGGAGTGGCATTGTTTTCTATACTGCTCTGCCTTATGTGTTCTATATTGGAAAGCATAAATTATACACTTAAATTTTGAAATCTTTTTATGGCATCATAAAAAAAGATTTTTTAGACTGATTTTATTTTGATAGATGGGTTCTGGTGTTTGTGAGCAAGGAAACCAGTTTTTTTTAAATTCCTACCTCATGCCTTTTGAAATGAGTTCCTGGATAAGCCTTTGCAGTTTTCTAAACTATTAGAGTACAACTCCTGTCGAGAAGAACGCTGAAGACCCATGTCTATTCTCTTTGACTCAAGGCATTTCTTTTTATCATCACCTGCTTGGTTCTCCAGAGTACTGATTACACATTTCCAAGTGGAGTCGGTAAGGAGACTGTTCCCTCCCTTAGTTACTTACGTGCTTTACTTTTATTCCACAGGAAGGTTGAGGACCTTCAGTTCCGAGTTGAAGAAGAATCAATTACTAAAGGCGATCTTGAGGTAAACTCTTCCAACTATCTAAATTCTTTTTGGATACTAGTACTGAAAAATAGGAGTGACCTACTGATCCTCTACTGATCCTTGGGGCCAGAACAATCTGCTCAGAGAATGGCAGGTACCCTGCCTCTGGCCCATTTGGATTATAATGATACTTTGTGGCTGAGGTGATGGTGCTTTTCCTTGAGCCCATGATTGTGGTTTCCCAATCTCTGTGGCAAAGCAAAATGTGCGTTACTCTTCCATGCTTGAAAATTCAAGTCCATGAATTGGATTTAATCAGGTCAAATCTGGCAGTGTGTCTGCAATTTAAGGCAGTCCTAAGTGAGACACTGTGCCAGCTCCTCAACTTCTTATTTGGCATTTAAAAATTCACAGAGATTTTCTTTAATATCAGATTTTTTCCTTTTTTTCTTTCTCTCTTAAAAAAAGAATAAACTGGGGCGACTTAAGCAAAGAGAGAAACATTTCCTGCTCCTCCCCTAAGTAGGAAAGAGGAATTAAAGACTCCCAGGTTTCTCTCTTTCAGTATTTTTTTTTTTGGAGGGGGGCGGTACTGGGCCTGGGGCTTAAACCCAGGGCTTGGGAGCTGTCTTTGAGTTCTTTCACTCAAGGCTAGTGCTCTTACCACTTTGAGGCACAGCATCACTTCCAGTTTTCTGGTGGTTAATTGGAGATAAGTGTCTCATAGACTTTTCCTGCCCAGGTTGGCTTCGAACTATAATCCTCAGATCTTATTAACTAGGATTATAGGTTTGAGCCATCAGTGCTCAGCCAGGTTTCTTACCTCTTAATAATTATTCATAGTGAATATACCTATTCATAGTTTTAGGAATAATTCATAATTTTACATTAAACATGAGAATTAAATGGTTTTGATACTTTTTAAGCCACTGCCAGATACATGATAAATATAAATTACTAACTTTTTCAAATTTTGAAGAATCTGTATGTATGTATTTATTTATTTATTTTTGGCAGTCCTGGGGCTTGAACTTTGGGCCTAGGCTCTGCCTAGACTCCTTTGCTCAAGGCTCATGCACTATCACTTGAGCCACAGCACCACTTCTGGCTTATTTACTGAGTAGTTTATTAGACAGAAGAGTTTCTCGGACTTTCCTGCCCCAGCTGGCTTCAAACCATGATCCTCAGAGCTCAGCCTCCTGAGTAGCTAGGATTACAGGCATGAACCACTAGGGCCCAGCTTGTAATGTTTTTTTTTTACTCTATAACATTTAGTAAAAATGGCAGTAGTCTTTTGGTTTTCAGAAGACACATTTTGGGCATTTAGAGTCTGTTGGCTGTCCTCACTCTACTTAAGTCATGGCCTTTCCAGACAAGAACTCTGATTTCTTTGGATATAAATGTATCTTCAATGGAGAAGGGTAAAGGGAATATTTTCTAAATTATGTTAAGATCCAGAATTTAATGTTTTATTAACAATAGAAAACAAATTCGTCATTCATTTCATATATAGTCATATTCTTTAGTTGACTTTTGTGTTGTGCTCATCCATTTAAAAACACTCCACAGTCTCATTAGAAGTTTCATATCATCATCTAATTCATGTGAATTACAGGCTCTGCTGTTTTTTGGGTGGGGTGGGTTAAGATATTTACATCAGAACTAGGCTAGTATAGTCTGTCTGATAAACTTACTTGAAATTAATCAAAGTTTTCTTGAAACCCTAACATATTGAAACTTTGGTTGGATCTCTTTTTTTTTTGTTGTTGCTTAATTTTTTTATTTTTTTGCTGATAGCAAAAGAGCCAGATTTCTGAAGATCCTGAGAATGTAAGAGGGCACTTAACTGTGTGGATATTTCCCTTAACACAATTGATTCCAGATTAAAATGCTTATTGATACACTCAAACACTAACTGCATACTCCAACCTTGGGGCATTGACCTTAATATTCTGTGCATGTGGCTTTCATAGCACTTACATTTGTATCCTAAAGAAATTGTATGTGATCACTGAGTTTCATACATTCATTTGTTGAATGAACAGGCAAATATTTATTTATAAAGGATTTTTGCCAAAGAGGAAAAAATGTCTGAGGGTCTAGCCTTCTTCACCTAATGGATAGTATCTTCTAAGGCATGATAGCTGATGAGAAGCATGGAGCACATTAGATGACGGAGTTGTAGAGATGCAGGAGGAGGTTTTCTAAGTTGTTGGGTCTTAATCTAGAGCAGGAATCCTGAGGCACCAGTACCGATGGCCTTTACACGTGCTCCCACTGCTGTCCAGTACCTGCCATTGCAACTGACAAGAAATTAAACTCCACATTTGTTGCGACAGTGCTTTCCTTGGTGTGTGAAAGTGAAGATACTGTGATTTATTTATTTTTAATTTTTCTCTTGTGGTGTTAAGCACACAGTCCATCACTGAGCTATCCCCCAGGCCTTCTTTTAGTTTTATTTTGAGACAAGGTCTCACTAAGTTGCTCAGATTGGCTTCAAATTTGTGATCCTTCTGCCTCCCAGGTAGCTGGGATTATAGACACACACCATTGCACTTAGCTACTGTGTGTTTTAAATGGACTTTTATTGAAGGGAGCTTTTCCTAGTAGCAGCACTACTGGATGTGCCTATTTTTTAAATTCTTGCCTTTGAGATTTAATATGCAAAACAAGCTTACCAAAGTGGGCTTGAGAGCAGTGCCATGCCGGCTGTGGTGCCAGTGGAATATAGCCTGTAAGATTTTTGCCTTGGTTTATTTACACAAGATCTCAGAATTAAAACAAAGAAGTATTTTTTTTAACCATCTCTTAGCAGCTGAAATAGACAAGATGGAACTTATTAGATGGTCTTCATTCTGAAGGGTTCCTTTTTGCGAAGCTACTTCAGTGATCTGAGTCTCTTTACTCTTTCCAGAACAGGCTCCTGCCTCTGGTGTCAGTGTGCATGGGACCTCCCTGCTGCCTCTTTGTGTGCTTTTCACAAGGCCTTTGCTTTCCTTTGAAGCCCTTGCCCCAGGACTTTCCTCTTGGGATACCATGTTTTATTCTAAGAAAGCAGTAGGTTACAAGGGAGTATTGTCCTGTTCAGTGTCACACTTTCACATGGGCTGTGGAAAGAAGGAGGATTGCTGGTTCCCTTGCTTGAGGACAGTGAAGGGCTGCTGTGGAGCCCCTAATCATTTGTATGTATTCCTGTCAGTGAGGAGTGTGCCTGACTTGGAAGATCTTTGAATAGGGAGAAGGCCACAATAAATGGATGTTTGCCCTTTAGTGACCTTTCTCCCGGGGGACACCTAACTTAGGTTCAAAAGAAGAAAGAGTTCTTGCTTTTTGCAGTTTTCTATTAAATTTGAATTCCAGTTCCTGAAGCTGTAACCACAACTGTAGATTTGGATTAGATTCTTAGGAAAGCAGATGAAGTCAACAACCAAGGAGACTATCCTATTAAGTTTTGAATTTTATCATATTATTAAGGAGCGTAAAGAATGTAGCAGAGAATTTAGAAATTCTTAAATTTACCTTTTAAATATCCCATGATGACTTGTTTATACCTGGTTCATAAACACAGTAACCCTTCAAGTGTGCCACCAGGGGGGTGGGTGAAGACATAATTGTGCTTTCATATCCCACGTTCTACCCAAGCTCTGCTCTACTTGGTGTCATTTGACCTCTGCTGTCATTTTCTTGTTGTCTGTAATTATCCGAACTGACAACCCAAGACAATATGAACCACAGAATATTTAAGTTAATCCAAGTAATTGCAGCTGCTGAGTGGGTTTTAGTCCATGGTGGCCTCTTGGGTAGAGGAGGTGGGTGGGCTAAGAGATACATTTAGACTGATATCATGAGCCTGGTATGAAAAGGGTACCTTCTGGGTTTCCGGCAGATAATCTGAGTGCATAATGAGGGAACTCAGAGTGCCTGAGAGGCCTTCAAGGCCCTGGTTCTTGCTGTGATGTTTGTGTTGTCACTATTTCCTACTTTACTTACCTCTGACCTGGTACAAACAACTTCATTTTAGAATGAAAATTAGTCCCTTTCAGTTTGAGATAAATTTTTACTCTTTCTTTCTTTCTTTCTTTCTTTCTTTCTTTCTTTCTTTCTTTCTTTCTTTCTTTCTTTCTTTCTTTCTTTCTTTCTTTCTTTCTTTCGTTCGTCAGTCATGGGGCTTGAACTCTGGGCTTGGGTGCTATCCCTGCACTCTTCAGTGCACTCTTCAGCTCAAGGCGAGTGCTCTACCGCTTGAGCGACAGTACCACTTCCGGTTTTCTGGTGGTTAATTGGAGAGAAGAGTCTCACGGACTTTCCTGCCCAGGCTGGCATTGAACCGTGATCCTCAGATCTCAGCCTCCTGAGTAGCTAGGATTACAGGCGTGAGCCACCAGCTCCCGGCTACTCTTTGTTTCTTTCTTTTTTGGGGGGGGTCTGGTCGTAGGGTCTGAACTCTGGGCCTGGGCGCTGTCCCTCAGCTCTTCAGCTCAAGGCAAGCGCTCTACCACTTGAGCCACAGTGCCACTTCCGGCTTTTTTCATTTTGCTTATGTGGTGCTGAAGAATCGAACCCAGGGCCTCATGCATGCAAGGCAAGCGCTCTACCACTGAGCCACCTTCCCAGCCCCTACTCTTTGTTTCTTAAGAGACTCAAAAGACAGAGACTGAGAGATGAACTGTTTTCCCCAACCTCTGCACCCACACATAGATAGTGTGAAAAGTCCCTGTTGGAAGAAATTAGAACTTTTGGGGCTCATTCCCATCCTGTGTGAGAATGTGGATGGGAACCTTGCCCAGACACCTCTCACCTGTTCCAACAGAGGCCACTGCTGTGATTTCTTTAGCTCAATTTTTAAAATTCTTTTATTAAGGTTAATTCTTGGCCCTTGCTTATGGCAAATTATATGTCAGGTCAGAAGGTTGGCTCTGAAGAATTGTCACATTGTCACATTGTCTTTGCCATATATACATATATATGTGTGTGTGTGTGTGTGTGTATATATATATATGTATGTATGTATGTATGTGTGTGTATGTATATACTATGTATGTATGTATGTGTGTGTGTGTATATATATATATATATATATATATGTATGTCAGCAAAGATTAAAAGATTATTCTGAGAGTTGGGCCACTTTTTTGTTGTTGTTGTTCCAGTCCTGAGGCTTTGAACTGCCCCTGGGCACTGCCCCCAAGCTTCTTTTGGTAAGGCCAGAGCCCCAGAGCCTCACTTCTGACTTTTTTTGAGTAGTTCGTTGGAGATAATAGTCTCATGGACTTTCCTGCCCAAGCTGGCAGATTTCGGCCTCCTGAATAGCTAGGATTATAGGTGTGAGCCACCAATGCCCAGTCTACCTTTGAAGTCATCAAAGTGGTTGCATACACTTAATGTCAAGTAGCCATTTTGGGGTGGAGGGAAGATGATAGTTTTAGAGAACTATTAACTACTCTAATTTGTGCTGATATACTTCACTTATCAATATAACATTTTTTGGCTGCATGCATTTTACACTCCATCCTGCCTCACATGTTTTCCATTTTTTCCTTTTTCAACAGACTAGCTCATGTCCTCTGCCTACCTTCACCCTTTTATGTATAGCACCCATCCTCACCCACTCCTCGCAATGCCATCTTCTTCCTTTCTCCATTACCCCTTTTGTTCATCCTTTGGCAGAAGGGTACTGGTGGCTCTGCATGCCGCTCTCTCTCCTTTTGTGCTGGCATGTCATGGTGGCACTGTTGTGTTTTCTTCCTCTTCCTTTTTACTAACAGACGCAGACCAAACTGGAGCATGCCCGCATTAAGGAGCTTGAACAGAGCCTACTCTTTGAAAAGACCAAAGCTGACAAACTCCAGAGGGAGTTAGAAGACACTAGGGTAATGGTTTTCACTATTTAATGAAGCAGCCCCATGCGTGTGAATGGTGGACACTTCGGGTGACCTGCCTTGCTATCAGCCTGAGCCTTGACCCAGTGGTTCAACCTGAGTTTGCTCTCAGTATTGCTCAGATCTTTATATGCGCAGGGAAGGCACAGGTATTCTTTTGATCTTTTGTCTGAAGGGAAAAACTCATTCCTTTGGTTAACCCAACTAAAATAGGAGATGAGAAACTTTACAACTACATCAACGATATGAATTCCACAATTGCACTTGAGATTCTTTTATTAATTCTTTGAAACACTTTTCTTGTTTGCCACAAGCAGTCAATTGTCCTCTTGTTCTCATATTCCTAGTTAATGGGTTTCTAAACAATTTATGTTTATTTCTTGCCTTTCCCCTACACTGCTGGGGAGAGGAAATGGAAACATTGGCTCTTTTTAATTTGACTTAAGAACTTTAACCTTAATGATAGCTGATTTTTCTTCATATCTACCTCTTTTGTGTCGCCCACAAAATTGACATCTCAGTAGTTAGGAAGGACATATATGTTGGGAACAGAATAGCTTCTTACTGTCCCCAGTTCAATATGTAAGCTTGGCCCTTGGAGCCTGTTTTTGTTCACTTACATATTGAACACCTGTGTATGCTTATATCATGCCATGTACCAAGTGCTTTGCAAGTAGTATTCTCACCACAATCCTAGTTGTAAAGAATATTCCCCTTTTGTATCTGATACTGAGCACAGAGAAGTTAATTTGCTCAAGGCCACAAGCTCAGAGTAATAGAGGAGCCAGGATTTGCATTTAGGCCTTTTGCCTCCAATCTGTGCGCTTAACCACCATCAGATGGAGTTTATTGTGCAAGTAATTTTGTGCTGAAAGAGGTAACTGGAGTCACATAATAAAATATTCACATATACCTTTACATCATGAATTTGACTGTGATTGTCCTTAACTTTAAAGTTTCAAAAATTCTTATTTGATCAAATTTGTTGTCCTGATTTTTTTTCGAATCATTAGTATTCGTACAAATTTGTTGAGAAATCATTGATCTAAAAATCTAGAAAATAGAGTAATCTTTCTCAATCATGTTTTTTTTTTTTTTGGTGGGGGGAGGGGAGGTCTGGTCGTGGGGCCTGAACTCTGGGCCTGGGCGCTGTCCCTCAGCTCTTCAACTCAAGGCTAGTGCTCTACCACTTGAGCCACAGCGCCACTTCCAGCTTTTTTCTTTTTGCTTATATGGTGCTGAGGAATCGAACCCAGCACCTCAGGCATGCAAGGCAAGCACTCTACCACTGAGCCACCTCCCAGCCCTCAATCATGTTTTTATTTAAAAGGTTTTTAGTCAATAAAAAAGGTTTTTTATTGAAAAGGTTTTTAAATGACTTCTCCTGTATTTGGTAAGAAAAAGAAAGAAGCATAATTTTGATGCTGTTTCTTCATTGTTTGAGACCCAAAAAGTTGATCTGGGAAATAAAAGGGACTGATAAGATGTGTAGATCCTTTGATGCAACTGGATGATGACATAAAAATATTTGTGCTTTTCACTTCTAAACTCCTCTCCCATATCTTAGTTTTGTCAGCAACTAAATTTGATGCTTTCTTTTTATTATTTAATTAATTAATTTTTGTGCGGGTCCTGGGGTTTGAACTCAGGGCCTAGGTGTTATCCCTGACTTTTTACTCAAGGCTGGTGCTCTACCACTTGAGCCACAGTTCCACTTCTGACTTTTTGGTAGATAATTGGAGGTAAGATTTTTCACAAGCAAGAAGGGCTGTCATTGAACCGTGATCCTCAGATCTTAGCCTCCCGAGTGGCTAGGTTTACAGGCATGAGCCACTGGCACCTGGTTTCTTTTTTGCTTTAGATAAAAAGGCATCTATCTAAGACATGGCTCAACCAACTATTTAAAATTAAAACTTACATCTTCCCATAAAAAAGCCCTGTGTCGTCTTCTGTTATTGGTATTCATTCTTGGATTGCCAAGTATGAAATAACCAGTGACCCATGGTAAGTTTCATATCACTCCATTCCTTTTTAGGAAGTGCTTAAAATTCTTTTTAGCCAGGGAATCCAATTTATGAACATTGCCTGATGCTGTAGAAATAGGAAGAAGAATAAGCTATGCCTCCTGCCTTTTAGTTTTGAACAATGACAGGGAAAATAAAATTTCATATTGAAGTGTGGTTCCTTAGTTAGGCTGTTCCTTAGTTAGGAGAGAATGCCTATAAGGTCCTGAGTCCAGACCACAGTACTACCAAAAAAGAAGTGCTATTACATATGTGAAAATGCCACATAAAATATAGTCATGTTGGGGCTAGGAGAGTGGTGTAGTGGTAAAGTGCTTGCCTAGCATGCATGAAGCCCTGGGTTCAATTCCTCAGTACCAAATACACAGCAAAAGCTGGAAGTGGTGCTGTGGTTCAAGTGGTAGAGCGCTATCCTTGAGCACAAAGAAGCTCAGGGACAGTACCCAGGATCTGAGTTCAAGCCCCAGGACTGGAAAAAAGACAGACAGAAAGAAAGAAAGAAAGGAAAGAGAGAAAGGAAGGAAGAAAGAAAGAAAAAAGAAAAGATAGTCATGTTGCTTGGTCTGTAATTTTAGCTACCTGGGAGATCAGGAAGGTTGTGGTTTGAGGACAGCCTGGACAGATGTTTAAGACCCCTTCGCATCAGTAATAGGTGCAGTGGCACATGCCTGGTATCCAAGCTACATGGCAGGCTGAGATCAAGGCCAACTTGGGCAGGAAGTCCTCAAGGTTCCATTTCAAATAAGAAGGTAGGCATGGTAGTGCATGCCTGTCATCCCTCTTATAACAAGCAGAAAATAGGCAAATTGTGCAGTACTGGTGCCTCCTGGACAAAAACCAAGACCTCATCTCAAAATAACCAGTACAGGAAGGTCTTGATGCATGGCTCAGAAGTAGAGCTACTACCTAGCAAACATGAGACCTTGAGTTCATACCCCAGTACTGTCCCCACCAAAGAGTCGTGTTAATATTTTCATTTACTTTTTACTTGGCATTCTCTCAATTTGCCTTGTTACCTAGAACTAGTACCCCCACTGGACTTGCAGCAGTGTGTTTTTGTTTTTGTGTTTGTCAATTGTGGGGCTGGAACTCTGGACCTGGGCGCTGTCCCTCAGCTCTTCAGCTCAAGGCAAACACTGTACCACTTGAGCCACAGTGCCACTTCTGGTTTTCTGGTGGTTCATTGGAAATAAGAGTCTCACAGTCTTTCCTGTCCGGGCTGGCTTTGAACCACGGCCCTCAGATGTCAGCCTCCTGAGTAGCTAGGATGACGGGTACAGGATTTTTTTATTATTATTTGTATCTTATTTAGGCAGCAAACTTGTGGACTCTTACTCCTTAATAATAGCATAAGAATTAACACCTTTAACCTGAAGTCTCTATAATGACCCTGAGGAACAGTGATTTTATTCAGCTCTAGGATTCTGAGTGGCTGATTATGCAGTTTCAAAGACCCTCATACTTTTTTTGTCCTCTTTTTCCTGATGTCTTATCAGTATTAGAATGTGTGTCCTGGACAGAGAAAACTTGTCTGTATTTTCTGTCCCAATATAGGCAGTGTGGGAGAGGAGTCTGAAATTGGAGTAATTCTGATCCTTGAAATTTGGGATCACTGATATTTATGAATTACTTGTGTTCCCTTTTATTTCCCAGGTGAATCAAATTATTTTAATACCAGAAGCTACCCTTTTTCATGTATTCCATGTACTGAGCTAATTGCCTCAGCAGTGGGGAATAATTTTTCTAAGACTAAAATGATATGCAGGTTAAGCTCGGGGGTGTTTATTTAAAAACCTCCAGATCTCAAAAAGAATCAAAAAATGTGGTAATATATGGGACTTTGCATTTTAGGTGTACATTTGAGGTGATTATATGTACTCTAGTGTTGAGAACCACTGGGTTAGGAAATGAGGTTGAGGTACAGACATCAAAATGCTGATGCAATTATAAAATCCAAAAAGGAGTCCTTCTGTACGATTCTAATGCTTATTACAGGTAAGTAGTCTTTCTTTGTCATTTAAAGAAAAGTTAGTAATTCTCTGTCCAGTTGAGGCCTTTATTCTATGGGCAGCATATTACTCACTGGAGTACATGATAGTAACACCAGTGTTAGCCAATGGAAGGGTCATTCCAGCCACATGTGCAGAATTTATGATTTTATACTACCCACATTAACTGTTCGGTAAGGTACAGTTGAAAACTTTGTTGTTGGTGGTGGTGGTCGTGGGGCTTGAACTCGGGGTCTGTTGAACTCAGGCACTGTTCCTAAGGTCTTTTGTTCAAGGTTAGCTCTCTACCACTTTGAGTTGAGCCACAGAGCTACTTCCAGTTTTTGGGTGGTTAATTGGAGATGAGTTTTATGGGGAATTTTCTGCTCTGGCTGGCTTCGAATCACAATACTCAGATTTTAGCCTCCTGAGTACTGGATGACAGGCGTGATTCATTGTCACCTGGCCACAGTTGAAATTTTAATAATATATTTAAGCCAGTTTATCTAAAATATACTTTCATCATGAAATCATGATGAAAAGATTATTAACATTAAAATTGTTAATAAGGTATCAGATGCAGTTGACTTACACCTATAACCCTAGCTAGTTCAGAAGGCTGAGATCTGAGAATCTCAGTTTGGACACAGCCCAGGCAAATAAACTCAAGAGACTTATCTCCAAATAACCCTCAAAAAAAAGTAGAGATAACTGGGCACCAGTGGCTCACACTTGTAATCTTAGCTACTCAGGGGGCTGAGATGTGAGGATCACAGTTCAAAGCCAGCCCAGGCAGGAAACTCTGTGAGACTCTTTTTTTGGGGGGGGCTTGAACTCTGGGCTTGGGCGCTGTCCCTGCTCTCTTCAGCTCAAGGCAAGCACTCTACCGCTTGAGCCACAGCGCCACTTCTGGTTTTCTAGTGGTTTATTGGAGATCAGAGTCTTACGGACTTTCCTGCTTGGGCTGGCTTTGAACCACGATCCTCAGATCTCAACCTCCTGAGTAGCTAGGATTACAGGCGTGAGCCACTGGCACCCGGCTGAAGGAGATGTGTACTTTTTTTGGGGGGGGGGTGGTCAGTTGTGGGGCCTGAACTCTCGGCCTGAACTCTCGGCCTGGGCGCTGTCCCTCAGCTCTTCAGCTCAAGGCTAGCACTCTACCACTTGTGCCACAGTGCCACTTCTGGATGTTTCTGCTTATGTGGTGCTGAGAAATCGAACCCAGGTCCTCATGTATGTGAGGCAAGCACTCTACCACTGAGCACCTTCCCAGGTCCCCCCTCCCTTCCCCCCTCCCCCGCCCCGTGAGACTCTTATCTCCAATAAAGCACAAGAAAACCAGAAGTGGCACTATGGCTCAAGTGGTAGAGTGTTCCACTTGAGCTGAAGAGTGTAAGGACAGCATCCCAGCCTAGAGTTCAAGCCCGTGACCGACAAAAAAAAAGTGGAGATATGGTTCAGGTAGTAGAGTACCAGCCTTGAGCAAAAAAGCCAAGTGAGAATTAGAAGTCCTGGGTTCAAGTCTCAGTACTGGCTTTAAAAGAAAAAATATGTATGTGTGTGTATGTACATATCTACATATATATATATATATATATATTCATATATACACCTATATCTACATATATAATTATATATATATATATATATATATATATATAAAGTTCTTTTTTCTCTTATGTTCTCAAAACCTGATGTCACATCAGATGAAATGAGCCACATTTTAGTCCTTAGGGTTGTATGTGGCCAGTACATCATCAAGCACAGGTACAGAAGCATTTATGCAGCCTGGGCAATGAGGAGTAGAAAAACTAGCCAAATAAGGAGCAGATGTAACTGGAAAGTGTTATCTTACTATCAGTTAATGGTTACTTTCCTGACTTAAGCTTCTTTAGAGGAAAAGCAAGTATTACTGGAGTAAATTAAGCTCAGTATCCATTTTTAGATTCTTTTAAGCATCTCAAAGTTGTAGAAATTTGCTGAAGTTTATCATTTTAAATTGGAGCTACCAGAATTGGGCTTAAGCCATTGTCACAGTGATTAACTCATAAACATAAGTTTGGTCTGGGAAGGTGACTCAGTGGGAGAGTGCTTACCTCGCATGCATGGGGCCCTGGGTTCGATTCCTCAGCACCACATAAGCAAAAAAAGCTGGAAGTGGTGTTGTGGCTCCAGTGGTAGAGCGCTAGCTTTGAGCTGAAGAGCTGAGGGACAGCGCCCAGGCCCAGAGTTCAGGCTCCACGATCGACCACCGACAAAAAAACAAACAACATTAAGTTTGTAAAGATCTTCACTGTCAAAAGAAAATTTATTAGTGATTTGTTATTTAAATGAACTTTTTTTCTTTGGACTGCTGTTAATAGGTGGCTACTGTGTCAGAAAAGTCTCGTATAATGGAACTAGAAAAAGACCTAGCATTGAGAGGACAGGAAGTAGCTGAGCTCCGAAGAAGGCTAGAGTCCAGTAAACCTGTTGGAGATGTGGATATGTCGCTGTCCCTTTTGCAAGAAATAAGCTCTTTGCAAGAAAAGTTAGAATCCACCCATACTGACCACCAGAAAGAAATAACTTCGCTGAAGGATCATTTTGGATCTCGGGAAGAGACATTTCAGAAGGAAATAAAGGCTCTGCATGTAGCTACAGAGAAGCTTTCCAAAGAGAATGAGTCCTTGAGAAGCAAGCTTGACCATGCTAACAAGGAGAACTCAGATGTGATAGCTCTGTGGAAGTCTAAGCTGGAAACCGCCATCGCATCCCACCAGCAGGCAATGGAGGAGCTGAAGGTGTCCTTTAGCAAAGGGGTTGGAACAGAGACGGCCGAGTTTGCTGAGTTAAAGACACAAATAGAGAGATTGAGACTAGATTACCAGCATGAAATAGAAAGTCTGCAGAATAAACAAGACTCTGAACGGTCTGCTCATACTAAAGAGATAGAAGCCCTGAAGTCTAAACTGATGGCAATCATTAAGGAAAAGGAGGACAACCTGGAGGCCATCAAATCGAGACTGGACAAAGCCGAAGACCAGCATCTAGTGGAAATGGAAGACACGTTAAACAAATTGCAGGAGGCTGAAATAAAGGTAAAGGAGCTAGAGGTTCTGCAAGCCAAGTGCAATGAACAAGCCAAAGTCATTGGTAATTTTACATCACAGCTCAAGGCTGCTGAAGAAAAGCTCTTGGATCTTGATGCACTTCGGAAAGCCAGTTCCGAAGGTAAATCGGAAATTGAGACACTTAGACAGCAGCTTGAGGCAGCTGAGAAACAGATTAAAACTTTAGAGATTGAAAAGAATGCCGAAAGTGGCAAGGTTTGTATTGACAATCCTCCATCCTTTCTTTTCTTTTCTGTTGTTATTCTTGTTTTGCGTTGTTACTTTTGAGTTGAGGTCATTCACCCCAAATTGCTGATTTCATGGAAACAAATTTCATGGCCCATCCAGTTGAGTATCTTCTAAGGATCTCAATATGGTTTCATCTGAGGAGATTAGAGAAAATAATGGTCTGATCAGATGTGGATTTATATTGATGTCCTAGAATCTGGTACTTTATCCCTGGGTAGTGAGGCCAACCTCACTACCTTAATGTCTCAGAGAATTCCCTGAGACCCTGGTGTTAAGGTAAATGTTCGAGTGACGTGGAAATTCATAAGATTGGCTGGCATGGTGGTTCATGCCTGTGATCCCAGCCTTCAGAAGACTGAGGCAAACGGATTGTAAATTTAAAGCCTACTCAGCAAGACTATGTTTCAAAAAAAAAAACAACAAAATCATATGAAGTCATTTCTTTTGTTTACACCCACATCATATAAAAGTGTAATAAGAACTCTGTTTTCAGCTACTGTAAATTAACACAGTGTGATGAGTACCATTCACAGCAGATGCAAGGGCAAGAGCCCAGCGGCTTTTGCATTCCTACTTTGTTCTCATTGGAGTTTCTTCCATGCCACATTGAAGTCAATATCCTCTTTTTGAGGAAAATCTGGGAAATGGAGCTATGGCTCAAGTGGTAGAGCACCAGCCTTGAGCAGAAACACTAAGGGAAGGCATCCAGTCCCTGAGTTAAGTCCTGGCTCTGGGACAAAAAAAAAAAAGTGTATTTGAAGGACAACTGGTTAAGTACATTTTGTTAAGGCACGGGGGAGCATACAGAACACTCGCTGATAGCGTAACAAGTGCTTTTAAGGAAAGTCACTTGATTGAGGTTTTTCTCCCAGTCCTGTCACCAGTTGAGGTACTTGCTCTGACGCTGACTGTGGTGAGCTTTCTGCAAGACAAGCTGCTCTAAGGGCAGAGATGGAAGTGTTACGATGGGCAGATGAGGACAAATAGCAAAACTAGCTGCAGGAAATTTTTCTCTGATTTCCTCATGTGATTCTGAAATACCAGTTAAAACAAAAGTTAATCTGAAGAGACTCTGTCGCTGATGGTTGGGCTGCTTTTTCATATCAAGATTTAATGAGCTGGACGCTGGTGGCTCAGGCCCAGATCTCAGAACACTGAGATCTGAGGATCACAGTTCAAAGCCAGTCCAGGCAGAAAAGTCCCTGTGAGACTCTTATCTCCATTTAACCATTGAGAATTGGTGCTGTGGCTCAAATGGTAGAGTGCTAGCCTTGAGCACAAAGAGGCTCAGGGACAGTGCCCTGAGTTCAAGCCCCACAACCGACCCCCCCCAAAAAAAAAATTGATGGAAACTGAGTTCTGATGGCTATTTTCTAGTATATTTAAATTTTTTAAATATTTTATATGCCAAAAGTATGGTGAATAATACAGACCACTGGGGCTGGGAAGGTGGCTCAGTGGTAGAGCGCTTGCCTTGCATGCATGAGGCCCTGGGTTCCATTCCTCAGCACCACATAAGCAAAGAAATCTGGAAGTGGTGCTGTGGCTCAAGTGGTAGAGTGCTAGCCTTGAGCAGAAGAGCTGAGGGACAGCACCCAGGCCCAGAGTTCAGACCCTATGACTGGACCCCCCCCCAAAAAAAAATACTCTTATAATATACCCGCCATTTCTATGTTAAGGACTTTGGGGAGGAGGGGATTGAGTAATGAGCCTAGAGCCTTGAGCATGCTAACCAGCATGGCTCTTTATATCCCCAGCATTAAGATTTTTGAACTCTAGAAATAAAATGGGCCAAGTATTGAACTGTATCTTTAACTTTCTAAAAATAGCCATTAGACAATCATATCTAGAATTGATTCTTTAAAAAGTTACTGGATTCTTAGAATTTAAAAAAAAACTTTTTATTCCTTTCAGTTTTGTTTTGTTGTGTTTGTTTCTCATAGATTTTTTTTACATTTGTTTGTTTTTCTTTATCATTCTTTTTTGTTTCCTTTTCATTCATTTGCTTCTATACCATGTAATTCTGTATGTTAGGCTAGTAGCATTACCAAAGAGCTCCAGGGGCAAGAGCTAAAGCTTACTAACCTTCAGGACAATTTGAGTGAAGTCAGCCAAGTCAAAGAGGCTTTGGAAAAAGAACTTCATATTTTGGTAAGTACCTGTTGGGTATCTGAAAATCAGGGTTTCTGGCCATTTCCTGTTTAAAAAAACATCCATAAAGAGATACTGCAGCTATTTCTTTTCTCCTTCAAAATCTTGATTTAAATTGAGTACATTAGTTACTGACTGATAAATACCTGTGGGAGCATACCTGTAATCTTAGCACTTGGGAGGCTGAGACAGGAGGATCGAGAATTTGAGGCCAACTTCAGTTTCATAGTGAGACCCAGTCTCAATAAACAAAAACCAGCCAAACAACCAAACAGACCTTCAGGGGAATCTGATCAGGACTCACTAGCAGTAAAGGTAGGTATTACTTTCCTTTCTTCTTTTAATCTTTTCCTTGCCTCTGATAGAGCACTGCTTTGAAACGTCATTGATCAGTTTTACTGAACACAGACAATCACAGTTACACATCCAGCATGGTTGGGTTTCATTCATGTTGACTTTGGGTCCAGGCACCCCACTCCCATCTCTTCACCCCACTCCCACACCCGCCATCTTGGGCTCAGGGCAATCTGTTGATGAGGCAGGATGTTATATCATGTATTTAAAGCTTAATTGTCTTATACCTTAGGAAATTACTTTTCCTTTCTACATTTGTTTTATTTCCTAGAGAGACATTTTTTAAAAATCTTTTCTCAACATTTTCCTTTCCAATTTTTTTACATCAAAACCCAACTTTGTATAAGGCTGATCATTGTGAATAGTGAACTGTGGTCCCCCTGTAGCATGGAGAGAAAAGATATAAGCTCACAGAGAAACTAGATAGGAGAAACCATACTTCCTCCACTTACCTTGCATCTCTCAACTTACTAGATATTTTTGCAAATGACAGTGGTGGATCAAGGTGAATACCTTAAAAAAAAAAAACAAAACTTAGTGGCTGGGTGCCAGTGACTTAGGCCTGTAAATGTAGCTACTCAGAGGGCTGAGGATCACGGTTCAGAGCCAGCCAGGGCAGGAAAGTCTGTGAGACTCTTATCTCCAATAAACCACCAAAACCAGAAGTAGAGCTGTGGCTCAAGTGGTAGAGTGCTTGCCTTGAGCTGAAGAGCTAAGAGACAGCACTCAGGCCCAGAGTTTAAGCCCCACGACCACCACCACCACCAACAAAAAAAAAAACAAAAAAACCCAGTGGTAATCATATAGTTGTGTTGTTCAGTGGTAGCTATTTCAATTATTTAAGTAAAATTCAAAATTCTATTTCTCTGATGCACTAGCAAATTATAAGTGCTCAGTAACCATGTGTGACCATGGGTTTGTAGAGAACATTTCACCATTGCAGAAAGTTCTGCTGGACAGTCTGGTATATATAATATTTTTGCTATTACATTTTGAGGAAAAATTGGCTTGGGAATCGCCATTCTGTGTTTTGATGTCCTTAACCTGTGAACCTTTTCAGTTTAAAAAATTGTGGACTCAGGTTCATAATACACTACGACTCAAATCTAGTTCAAGCTTCTCAGGATATAAAACTTCTCAGAAATATAAAGAATTCAGCATTGGGGATTTAGCTCAGTGGAAGAACACTTGCCTGGCACAAGTACAAAATCTGAGTTTAGTCCTCAGCTCTGGAAAAAATGGGAGGGGGGGCGGAAATCCAGAACTCTGTTGTCTCAGGAAGATTTCTGAAGAGAAGGTCTCTATTAGAGGGTCAGCACCATGACAAAGCTTGCACATGCACCACTGTATTACATATACTTGTGTATACTTACACAAGTGTACATGTTCATACATGTGTATATAGGCATACATGCATGCTCATACACAGCACATGCACAAATTATAAATGCATATATGCACATTGCACTGTATGCATTTGGTAGTTAATTAGTTAAGTATGTTAATTTAACAAAACAAAATCAGCCACAAAAAGTAAATAGTATTGTAGTTATTACTAGTAGACACTCTTTATCTTAATGTTTTGAAATCCTTATATTGTGAATATCTGGTTCTTTCTCTTTAGAAAGAAAAGTTTGCTGATGCTTCAGAAGAGGCAGTCACTGTTCAGAAAAGTATGCAAGGTATGTTTTACTGAAGTCAGAGCAGAACATGTCTTGCTCTCACTGTGGCTGCTCTCACTGTGGCTGCTCTCTTGAGTGCAGAATAGATACTACCTGTAGTCAAGTGTCACAGTCCTAAATTTTGCAGCACGCAGGAATATTGCATTCCATAGGCTTCCAGAAGCCTCAAACTCCTAATTCTTTCTTCTCTTGTTCCATATTAAAATGTAAGTATTCCTGGGGAATGTATTAGTTAAGCTTTCATCATTGACAGCTCTCTTGAATTTCAATTGGAATAAGAGATATGTGAAAAACGCATGCCTGGGCCTGTTTGGCATACAGCTGTGGGGAGGTGGCAGAGAGGCTTACTTGCTTCATTGGTGGTGTACACAGATGTGCTTCTTAATGGGACTTTTTAGTATTCCTGTATTCTTAGGTCTCACAAGTGTATGATTTGATTGGGTTGTAAGTCAGACAAATTCTAGTGACTTAAATATGAAACACATTAAACTTTCAACTTTATCTTAAATAGAAACTGTAAATAAATTACACAAAAAGGAAGAAGAGTTTAACATGCTATCTTCTGAATTGGAGAAGTTGAAAGAAAATTTAACAGGTAAGGAGATTTCTCTGGTGACTAATGATTATGTACAGTAGGTTTGCTAGGATTGAGATAGCTGTCATTTGTTAGAATAACAGATCTACTATACAGGCATAACTGTTTCACTCATTATGGTTATATAATATTTGAGATCTGTAATTCTCAGCAAGTCCTCGTTTCTGTTTTCAAAAAGAGAATTTAACACATCCCATCACTCCTGCTATCTTTTCTTTTTTGTCGGCCATGGGGCTTGAACTCTGGGCCTGGGCACTGTCCCTCAGCTCTTCAGCTCAAGGCCAGCGCCCTACCACTTGAGCCACAGCGCCACTTCTGGTTTTCTGGTGGTTAATTGGGGATAAGAATCTCATGGACTAAAAAAAAAAACAAAAAACAACAACAAAAAAGAATCTCCTGGACTTTTCCTGCCCGGGCTGGCTTTGAACCATGATCCTGGATGATCATGGATAACAGGCATGAGCCACTGGCACCTGGCCACTCCTGCTATCTTTGATCCAAGTCAAAAGGGTCTTATATATGAGTAACCTTAACAGCTGACCATTCACTTCCTATCTTTGCTCCCACTTCCTTCCGTACTCAACACAGCAGATAGAGTGATCCTTTTTATCTTTTTTAGAATTTTATTTTGAGGAAGGCTCTGTAGCCGAGTCTGTTCCTGAACTTTCCTTGGATCCTCTTGCTGCCTCTTAAAATCACAGCTGCAGTCAGATCATGTCACTTCTCTGCCCAAGATTGTTCAGTGGTTCCCATCTCACTCTGTCTTACCCTCATCAAGCCCCATTGCCTGGAGGATTTCAACCTAGACTGTCCTTCCCCTTGCTCATTCCACTCTGGCCACATCTGCCTCCTGGTGATAGGGACACTTCAGTCATGGTCCTGCCCCACAGCTTTTGCCTTTGCCTTTCTGTCTTCCCTCCTTTGTTTCATATAGCCACTTAAGTGTCACTTATCTCAGAGGGGCTACTTCTAAGATCTGCATGTCTTTCCCCTTCTTTCATTTTTTTCTCTCTTAGCACTTATCTCTGTTACATTATTCTTTATCCTTTTGGTGTCTTGTCTTTGCTAAAGTGTGATTTCCTTGAGGGTTAGGGATTGGCACCTGTGTGATTTCCTTGAGGGTTAGGGATTGGCACCTGCCAATATCCCTAGTGCAAGATGTATCCAATAAATGTTTCTTGCTCTTAATACAGAGGTGCTACTTTTATAAATTTTATTATTAAGTAGTTGTATAAAGAGGTTACAGTTCTGTAAGGTATGTTATGAGTACAACGCATCTTGGTCAGAAGTACTATTTTTGTGTATTCAGATATGGAGGCCAAATTTAGAGAGCAGGATGAAAGAGAAGAACAGTTGATAAAGGCGAAGGAAAAACTGGAAAATGACATTGCAGAAATAATGAAGATGTCAGGAGATAATTCTTCTCAGCTGACAAAAATGAATGATGAGTTGCGTCTGAAAGAAAGGTATGTTGATGGTTAGGCTTGGCGGTGTCTAGATATTGAGAAGACATAGGCTCCGGGTTGTTGTCTCTTCCCCTCCCCCTCCCCCGGCCTTGAACTTTGGGCCTGGGCACTGTCCCTCAGCTGCTTTTGTTCAAGGCTGGTGCTCAACCACTTGAGTCATAGTGCCCTTCTGGCTTTTTCTGTGTATGTAGTGCTAAGGAATCAGACACAGGCCTTCATGCATGCTAGGCAAGCACTCTATCACTGAGCCACATTCCCAGCCCCAGGGTTGTTGTCTTTTATACTTTCCTATCTCCCTCCTTCTTTCCCTTGATTTTGCTCTTGCTTTTGTGCTTGTAATGCTGGGATTGAACCCAGTTCCTTGCATATATGAGGCAAGCATTCTGCCACTGAGCTAAACTACATGTCCCTACTCTCTGTTTCTTCCTGTTATTGCTTTATTGTTTACTTAACTGCTTAACATTCTAAAATGGACTTTGCCTATCTCTCATCAAAATATATTGGTGCCCAGCTTTTATTTTTACTTTTTCTTTTTTTTTTGTCGGTTGTGGAGCTTGAACTCTGGGCTTGGGCTCTGTCCTGCGCTCTTGAGCTCAAGGCGAGCGCTCTACCACATGAGCCACAGCACCACTTCCGGTTTCCTAGTGGTTTATTGGCAATAAGAGTCTCACGGACTTCCCTGCCCGGGCTGTCTTTGAACCTTGATCCTCAGATCTCAGCCTCCTGAGTAGCTAGGATTACAGGGTGAGCCATGGGTACCAGCTTCTTCTTTTTTTTTTTTTTGGTCAGTTGTGGGGCTTAAACTCTGGGCCTGGGCACTGTCCCTCAGCTCTTCAACTCAATGCTAGCACTCTACCACTTGAGCCACAGTGCCACTTCTGGTTTTCTGTTGGTTAATTGGAGATAAGAGTCTCACAGACTTTCCTGCCTGGGCTGGCTTTGAACCACGATCCTCAGATCTCAGTCTCCTGAGTAGCTAGGATTACAGGCATCAGCCACTGGCACACAGCTATTTTAAATTTGTGTGTGTGTGTGTGTGGTACTGAAGATTCAACTCAGGGCCTCAAACATGCAAATGCTCCACCATTTCCCTCAATTCTATTTCCTTTAGTATATTTTTCACTCATTTTTCCTTTTTTTTGGGGGGGAGGGGTCCGGTTGTGGGGCCTGAACTCTGGGCCTGGGCGCTGTCCCTCAGCTCTTCAGCTCAAAGCTAGCGCTCTACCACTGGAGCCACAACACCACTTCCAGCTTTTTTTGCTTATGTGGTGCTGAGGAATGGAACCCAGGGCCTCATGCATGCAAAGCAAGCGCTCTACCACTGAGCCACCTTCCCAGCCCCATCATTTTTCCTTATTGATATACTAATATAAGACAATAAACATTCACTTTCACAGTGTAATAGTTGTTACCTGAATAATGTTTAACTATCAGTTGTTAAAATTATTCTTCAGGCAAGTCATTTTTTTTATCTGCCTTGATTTCAGGGATTATTACTCAAATTATATAACCAATTGTTTCACAAATTACATAACCATTAATAAATTGTTGTTGTTGGTGGTGTATACCTGTAATCCTTGCTACTCAGGAGGCTGAGATCTGAGGATTATGGTACAGAGCCAGCTATGGCAGGAAAGTCTGTGAGACTCTTACCACCAATTAACTGTCAAAAAGCCAGAAGTGGAGTTGTGGATTAAATGATAGATACTAGCCTTGAGTGTAAAAACTCAGAAACAATGCCCTGTGCCCTGAGTTCAAGCAACAGGACCAACACACAAAAAAAGTCTATGTCTTGTGGGCATGATGGTACATACCTATAATCCCAGCATTCAAGAGACTGAAATGGGAGAATTGTAAGTTTGAGGTTCGTTTGGGCTGCAAAGCAAGTTTTTGACCAACCTAGGTTGCATGGTGAGACCCTGTCTCAAAAAAAAAAAAAAAAAGGGCTAGGAATGTGGCCTAGTGGTAGAGTGCTTGCCTAGCATTCAGGAATCCCTGGATTCGACTCCTCAGTACCACATAAACAGAAACAGCTCAGGGCTGGGAAGGTGGCTCAGTGGTAGAGCGCTTGCCTTGCATGCATGAGGCCCTGGGTTTGATTCCTCAGCACCACATAAACAGAAAAAGCCAGAAGTGGCGCTGTGGCTCAGTGATAGAGCGCTAGCCTTGAGCTGAAGAGCTGAGGGACAGTGCCCAGGCCTAGAGTTCAGGCCCCACGACTGGACCCAAAAAAAAAAACAAAAACAGAAACAGCTCAAAGTGGTACTGTGGCACAAGTTGTAGAGTACTAGCCTTGAGCAAAAAAGTCCAGGACCTAAGTACAAGCCCCAGGACTGGCCAAAAAAACAAATTGTTTCTAATATAATTCTTTTTTTTTTTTTTTTTTGTGGTCCTGGGGCCTGAACCCTTTGCTCTGTCCCTCAGCTCTTCAGCTCAAGGCTAGCATTCTACCACTTGAGCCACAGCACCACTTTCAAGTTTTTCTGCTTATGTGGTGCTAAGGAATCTAACCCAGGGCCTCATACATGCAAGGCTGCAAGGCAAGCACTCTATCATTGAGCCCCCTTCCCAGCTCCTCTAATATAATTCTTTTTTTTTTGGGGGGTCCAGTCATGGGGCCTGAACTCTGGGCCTGGGCGCTGTCCCTCAGCTCTTCAGCTCAAGGCTAGTGCTCTACCACTTGAGCCACAGCGCCACTTCCGGCTTTTTTCTTTTTGCTTATGTGGTGCTGAGGAATTGAACCCAGGGCCTCAGGCATGCAAGGCAAGCACTCTACCACTGAGCTACCTTCCCAGCCCCTCTAATATAATTCTTAAGTTTAAGACATTTTTATGAAAAAATCTGATATCTCATTGAATTTTGTTTTAGATGTGTAGAAGAATTACAGCTAAAACTTACAAAGGCTAATGAAAATGCAAGTTTTCTGCAGAAAAATATTGGGGAAATAACTCTTAAAGCTGAACAGAGCCAGCAGGAAACAGCCAAAAAGCATGAAGAAGAAAAGAAAGGATTAGAAGAAAAATTGTTGGACCTGGTAAGGAGGGAATACGTGGAACTGTTTGTTATAAGGAGAGCAGGGGGTCCATGTATGGCCAAATGACACTCATGGCTTTGGGGATTCTGCAGGAAAAGAAAATGGAAACAAGCCACAACCAGTGTCAGGATCTGAAAGCCAGGTATGAAAAAGCCAGTTCTGATATGCAAACAAAGCATGAAGAAACCCTGCAGAACCTCCAGAAGATACTGTTGGACACAGAGGAGAAGCTGAGGACTGCACAGGAGGAGAACAGAGGCTTAATGCAGGAGATGGAGGAACTGAAAACACAGGCTGATAAAGCAAAAGTAAGTCTGAGAGGAGAAGTGGTACAGCTATGTGCAGCTGTGTTATTGCTTGCTTGAGTTCTGCACCAAGGCTGCAAGGAAGCTTAGAAAGTAGCAGCAAACGAGATCCATTGACTTGTCCTCACAAATGATAATACTAGGTGTCAGGTGGATGGTGAATGGAATTTCCTACGGTCTCAAATGTTTTTGTCAGCTGCTCTTCCTTCTTAGAGATGGTGATAGCTACAGGTCTTTCCTCTAAGTGTGCCTGATAGCCATCACTACCCCTGTGCTGTTTGTCCTCAACTGTCACATAGCCTCTTGTTGTCTGAGCTCTGTTGGCTTGCTTGCAGTAGACTCTGGTGTGGGTGGGAAAGCATCTTCCTGTAGTCTTGCTGCTACCCCTGGGTTTAGGAAAGACAAACTACAGAAAGCAGAAGGCAGAGACCACTCAATGAATAGGACTCTTGTAAGAAGAGCATAAAGCGAAAACTATGGAGAAGACTTTTGTGTGGGCCCAGAAAGCCTCTGTGAACTTAGTGCCAAGAAAGTTGGAATCAAGGACCCAAGAAGTATCTTATTAGTTAAGGAGTAGAATGTTGAATTTCAGTATGTGGTGTTTTAACTCTAATAACTTCAGAAAATATAACCTTTCTACCATTATTTCACTTTTCATTGTTTAGGGAAAGGTAAATACTTGTTTTTATTTTTGATGTGTTACAGAAATGTTTATTATGCATTTAGTAGTAAGAAATGATGAAAAGAACTTGAATCTAGTCTCACTAAACTCCTGCTGTTGTAGACAGTAGGTAGTTCAGACATTGAGAATTTGCCTAGCATTATTAGCAGGCCCTGGTTTCTGCCTCCAGAACTATCTGTTAAATAAATGAACCTGGACACACATGTCAGAGGTTGCGGCTTCTGTCTTCCACATCCTGCCAATCAGGACTTTCTCTTCTCTCCTCTTAAAAGCACCTCCAGTGCTGGGTGCTAGTCACTCACACCTGTAGTCCTAGCTACTCAGGAAACTGAGATCCGGGGATCATGGTTTGAAGCCAATCCAGGTAGGAAAGTCTGTGGGACTCTTTTTTTCCTGTGGGACTCATCTCCAATTAACCACCAGAAAATCAGAAGTGTAGCTATAGCTCAAAGTGTTAGAGAGCTAACCTTAATTAAGCAAAAGAGCAAAGGGACAGTATGCTCAGACCCTGAGTTCAAGATTCAGGAATGACAAAACAAACAACAAAAACCCACCTCTAATTTGATGAGCCATTTAATGGTGGATATGATTCCCAGATCTATTGTCTGTGGGTTCCCTTTATGGGAATAAACTCTAATTTTGTAAATGTTTGAAATGGTATTTGAAATGTTATTGCCTGGCCAAACCACAGCATTGTAGTTGTTGGTGTGAGGTTTTGCTGATTTTTATCTGGTGGTTTGTTTAGAAGTCATTTCATTAAAATGTCAGAACTCTTTCCCTCCCCAAAGTTGCCATGTGCGTGTTAGATTATGGTAAAGTTCAATGACGTATAAACTCTGGAGAATCTGATTAACTTATTACCTTATTATCTGATTATCTTATTACCTTAGGAAAGTTTACACAATATTCATATTGCATTCCAGGAGGTCACAGAGTTGGTGAACCTGGCTTACGACTCACTGTTCTGCAACTCTGCTGTCTTAATACAAAAATCACTAGCCCCATGAGACAAGTTAATTTAGATTTGTTGCATCTTAAAATTGTAGGCCAGGTTCTAGTGGTTCACACTTGTAATCCTAGCTACTCAGGAGGCTGAGATCTGAGGATCATGGTTCAAAGCCAGCCCTCCCAGGAAAGTGCTCTTCTCTCCAATAAACTGCCAGAAAACCAGAAGTGGCACTATGGCTCAAAGTGATAGAGCACTAGCCTTGAGCAAAAATTGCTCAGGGACATAACTTAGTCTTGAGTTCAAGCCCCATGACTGACAGAAAGAAAATTGCAAATCCACCTCCTCAATTGTACTCAACACATTGAAAGTGCTTAGTAGTCACATGACTACTGTACAGGACAAAAAGTTCTGGACAGTGCCAGTATAGACATTGGGGTCAGATTATCTTGTAAATAATACTTAAAACATTCTTTATGGGCTGGGAAGGTGGCTCAGTGGTAGAGCACTTGCCTTGCATGCTCGAGGCCCTGGGTTCGATTCCTCAGCACCACATAAGAAAAAAGCCGGAAGTAGCACTGTGGCTCAAGTGGTAGAATGCTAGCCTTGAGCTGAAGAGCTGAGGGACAGCGCCCAGGCCCAGAGTTCAGGCCCCACGACCAGACCCAAAAAAAACAAACAAACACATTCTTTATTTTTAGTTACCAAAGCCCAGAAATTAGTCTGCACGTGTGTGTGTGTGTGTGTGTGTGTGTGTGTGTGTGTGTGTGTGTGTGTGTGTGTGTGTGTGTGTGTATTTGATATGATTAGATCATTCTTAGCCCAGTGACTTTATGAAATAAGGTCTTACAGTTAGTTTATAAAGAGGTGATTTAATTCCCATTGTAACCACTACCTTTTGCTAAAATATATTTAGTTTTTATAGTTATATGGTGGTGGGGGATTTTTTTTTTGCAGATGCAACCTGTAGCCTTATATATACTAAGCATGTGCTCTACCACTGAAACTATACCCTTGTCTGAGAATTATATTTTTACAAATTCTTCTATGATGTGTGTGTGTGTGTGTATGTGTGTGTGTGTGTGTGTGGTGTCTGGCTGGGGGAGGGAGGAAGGGGAGGAGGAAGAAGCGTGGGTTGTATGTCCAGGGGCTTGAAGTCAGTCTGGGTACTGTCCTTGAGCTTTTTTTGCCCAAAGCTAGCACTTTATCACTTGAGCCAGAGCTTCACTTAAAGCTTTTTGATGGTTAATTGAAGCTAAAAGTATCATAGACTTCTTACCTGGGGCTGGCTTCAAATTGCAGTCCTCAGGTCTCAACCTTCTGAGTAGTTAGGATTATGGGCATGAGCCGCTGGCCGCTTGGCTTATGAATATTTTTTTACAATGGATATAGTGGGGGCGATTGGAATGGCAGGAGAGAATCTTAAGAAATCAGGATGCTATTTCTTTCTGGTAGGGAGTTATCAGGAATAATTTCACAAGTTGTTCCAAAGATAAGGCAAGTGAATAAGCACTTTGCAAAGCTAAATTTGCTTTGTATTATGCCTTTATGAGATCTGTTTCTCCAGTTTCTTCCTCTTGTTATTTTATGGTTTCTAAGCAGCTTACTATGGAAAATTTAAAGTTTGACAGTCTGCATTAAGTTATTTGGGCTTGCATTTGTCTGCTTGATTTCATTTTGTTTCCATTCTTCCCATCTTGTGTTTCTGTAGTCGCTAACTTATTTGTTAACATCAGCCAAAAAAGAAATTGAACTAATGTCAGAAGAGCTGAGGGGTCTGAAATCAGAGAAGCAGCTTCTTGCACAGGAAGGCAATGCTTTAAAGGTAGAAAAAGGTTCACTTTTATCAAAGTTGATAGAAATGGAGGCCAAAATAACTTTGCTTCAGGAAGAACAACAGAAATTATGGTCAGCAAACAAAACTCTCAATTTAGAAAAGGAAAAAGTTTTAAAAGAAAAGCAAGATGCTGAAAAGCTTTACAAGCAAGAACATCTTGATAAAGAAGCTTTGGCTATTGAGAGAGAAAAACTGCTGAAAGAAATCAGCGTTGCACAGGAAGAACTTTTGAAGATAAATGTGGAGAATGACTCTTTGCAAGCTTCCAAGGTGCACATGCAGACGCTCATTGAGGAGCTCCACTTCCGCACAGATGCTCTCATAGCTATGTCTGAGAGGGCTCGGGTAGAGAAAGACCACCTGGAGGATCAGATCAAGAAGCTTTCTGCTGAAAACCTTATCTTGACGAAAGACAAGGACGACATCATTCAGAAACTTCAGAGTGCTTATGAGGAGCTTGTCAAGGATCAGAAAGCCTTAGTCCACGAGATTGAAGAGCTCACAACTGAGAAGAGGTCAACAGCTGAGAAGCAGTTGAGCCTCGACAACATGTGCCTGGCCCTAAAGGCAGAACGAGAGAGCCTTCTCCAAAGCAACAGAGACCTGCAGCTTGAGAAGGACACACTACGTCAGGGTCAGGAGAAGCTGAGTGCCAGCCTGGAGGCTGCCCTGCAGGTCAAACAGCTCCTCAGCACTGAAGCTGATGCTCTGCGCACACAGCTGGACTGTGCCAGCAAAGCACTGAGGAAGGCTGAGCTGGAGACAAGGCAGCTTCAGGCTACCAATGCAAGTCTTACAAAGCTCCTGGAAGAGATTAAGACAAGCCGGGCAATCACAGACTCTGAGTGCATCCAGCTTCTTCATGAGAAAGAGACTCTGGCTGCCTCTGAGAGGAGGCTTCTGGCTGAGAAAGAAGAACTTTTAAGTGAAAATAGTCTCATTACTGAAAAACTCAACAAGCACTCTGAAGAAGCCACTCATCTTGAGATGAGTCTCAATGACAAAATCACATGCCTAGCTTCTGAGAAGGAGATAGCTTGTCAGAAAATTACTAAGCTTAAAAAGCAGCAAGACAGCCTCTTGAAAGAAAAATCGGCACTAGAAGTACAAATTGGAGATTTACTTTCAGAAAGAGAGAATTCCATCAAAGCCATAGGAGACCTTAAAAGAAAGTATGAGCAAGAGGCTGCAAGCCGAAGAATAATTGTTCAGGAGAAGATGAAACTACTTGGTAATATCGATGCTCTGAAGAAAGAGCTTCAGGAGAGAAAACAGAAAAATCAAGAGCTAGAGGCCAGTAAGTGTGACCTCTCTTTAATGCTGAAAGAAGCTCAGAATGCCAAAAGGGATCTTGAAAAAGAACACACCAACATGATGCAAGCAAAGGAGAATTTGAATGCTGAGCTTAAAACTTGTTGTTGTGAAAAGAACATATTGCTGAGGGATGGTTTAAACCTGCAAGAAGAATGTCAGAAATTAAATGAAGAGATTCATACAATACAGCAGTCTTTAATCCTGGAAAAAGAGGCCAGAGTGAAGGAAAATGAGTCATCCTTGTATGAAAACAATAAACTTCATGGCAGAATGGTGCTCTTGGAGCAGGAGGTGGATGGGTTAAGAGTGTGTACTGAACAGCTTCAGTCTGAGAATTTTGTACTAATGCAAGAAAAAACCAAATTGGAACAACAAGTGGTGGAGATAATTAAGGAAAAGGAGCTCTTGAGCATGGAAACAGCTCAACTTGCTGCCAATATCGAGACCCTGAAAAGTGATTTTGCTGCTCTATCCAAGTCCAAGTTGGAACTGCAGGAACTCCACAGCTGCCTCACCAAGATCCTGGATGATCTTCGGCTGAACCATGAGGTGGCTGTGGCTGACAGAGCCAAGGTGCTACAGGATAACAAGAGTATCCTGGCTGAGAAAAGAGAAATGATGCTGAGAAATGATGAGCTCCTGAAGGAGAAGGAGAAGCTGGAAGAAAACTACTTTCTCCTACAGAAGGAGATTAGCCAGCTGGCCAAGACCAACAGCCACATTTCAACCAACCTTCTAGAATCTCAAAGTGAAAACCGTACTTTGAGGAAAGACAAGAGCAAGCTTACCCTTAAAATTAGAGAGCTTGAGACTCTTCATTCATTTACGGTAAAGTGAGAGTTCAAGTATCGCACACTGGGACTACTTACTAACCCTCTGCACTAACATTAGTAGCTTACGTGATTTTTTTTCCCTTATTGCTACTCAGTTAAATCAGTGCAGACCCTTCATAGCTCATGTCTCCAGCTGTTTGTTGCAGTCTGAAAGGACAATTCTTTACTAAATATCTAATTGCAGTAGTCTCTCCCCCATTTAGAAAAAAATGGCAAACTGGGAATAAAAAAGATTTTTTCAATTTAATGGAAAACTGAAAAAGTTGTGATTGTTAAGAGCTTAAGAGCAGTAGTAGAATGGGAACATACTGAAGTACAGTTTTCTGCTATTTGGCTTTTAAATGTCTGATTGTGTCTTTTTGGAGTTAGATGACTCCACTGAAACCTCCAGCTATAGCTGAGTATAACTGCTATAACAAACCAAGTGAAACTGCAGAGTATTATTTTTTAATATTTAGCAGCCAGTATGCATTATTTCCAGATGTACACATCTTTTTTATTCACAGCCACAATTCATTACCCACAGTTTCTCTCATAGACTTTCAATTAAATAGTTCTCTTGAAACAATTGAGCTTTACATTATAATTGCCCAAATAATTTATGTTTTTATGTGCAAATATTATCATCCTAAATTGAATGATTTCAAAAGCCCTAAATTTGAAATATCAAGAATAGTATTTTAAACTTAGTGCAATAAGTGTGATTAAGAAACATTCAGTTCTATGGGGAATTACTTTTTACTACCACGAGACTTGTCAAATGTAAGTCAGAATGATGAGAACAAGCTTTCCAGTGTAACTTGGAACTTAGATGTAGGTTTAGAGGAATATGGACATGAATTATTGAGAGATGGCCTGGAAAAGGTTTGTAACTTTGTTCTACTTCAGAATACAGACCCTTCACATGTCTGTTGGCTTCAGGGTTGGGTTGATGGCTTTGACCTCTGTGTGTCTCCCTTAGCCACACAGATTCTGAGTGCTGCCTGAGCAGCATAGCCTGATTGTGCCTGATGGCATCAGGAAGGTGTTCTCCTTCTCACAGTGTTTTCTTGTACTTAGGCTGCTCAGACTGCAGAAGATGCCATGCAGATAATGGAACAGATGACCAAAGAGAAGACAGAAACTCTGGCCTCCTTGGAGGACACCAAGCAAACAAATGCAAAACTACAGACCGAAGTAATCAGATTTAAATGGTTTTTTGTACAAAGAACAGCTTACCGGCTTCATGGAATGTTTGATCACTAACTCAGGACTGTGTAAATTTTTGATGCTGGACTCATACAGGTTTGATCTGTGTTAGAGTCTAATACATGCCACATCCATATACTAAATAAAGCGGATTGCTTCATTACTTATTTATTAGGACCAACCTTTAAGAATTGAGGGAGAAACCCTAATAGTGTGGCTGTCGAAGATAATTATTTCATGATAGCACTAGACAGGAAGTGCTGGTGGCATTCCTAGTTTCTGTAACCTTTATCTTGTATCACATTGTTTTTCTTCAACTCCTCACACATTGGAACCACTAAATTCCAGTCTCCATCCCTGATCTTGAGGTAGGCCTTTTCTTTTTTTTTCTTTTTTCTTGGTCAGTCATGGGGCCCGAACTCTGGGCCTAGGTACTGTCCCTCAGCTCTTCAGCTCAAGGCTAGTGCTCTACCACTTGAGCCACACCACCACTTCTGGCTTTTTCTGCTGAGGAATTGAACCCAAGGCCTCATGCATACAAGGCAAGCACTCTACCACTGAGCCACGTTCCCAGCCTGATGTAGGCCTTTTCTTGGCCTAGTTCAATACAGATTCCCTTTTATGTAATTAGTGACTTCTGGAACTGGACACATTTATGGTATGAAGGTATTTCTGTTCTATCCATAGGTAATACTTCTCCTCCTTGGATAATTCCCTAATTCTCCTGTTTCCCCCTTCCCAACTCTAGTAACTTTTTCTCTTTTTGGAAAGCTTCTACCTAAATCCCTAGCAGACAGACTCACTGAAATGAGTGTATAAAGTTCTGTATACTTTCAGGTTTTTGGTTTTGTTTTTTTGCCTGGAGCTTGCACTCAGGGCCTGGACACTGTCCCTAAGCTTCTTTTTGCTCAAGGCTAGCACTCTGCCACTTGAGCCACAACACCGCTTCTAGCTTTTTCTGTTTATGTGGTACTGAGGAATCGAACCCAGCAGGGCTTCATGCATGATAGGCAAACACTCTAACACTAAGCCATATTCCCACCCAGGTTTTTTTTTTTTTTTTTGTCGGTCATGGGCCTGAACTCTGGGCCTAGGTGCTGTCCTTCAGCTCAAGGCTAGTGCTCTACCATTGAGCCACCTTCCCAGCCCCCCACCCACGTATTTTTTTAAGTCACAGGAAAGTAAGGTGTTTTAGAAGTAGATCAAGAGACGGGATGACCAAATGGGATAACTGTATGAAGACTAGGCCTCCTATGTGACTTTGCCAAGGCACTGACATTGTGAAGTAATGATAGAGTGAACAAAATTGACAATCCTACGAGAAGACAAGTTTATTAAAAAAAACAAAACAAAAAACAAAACTGCCAAGTGCCAGTTGGCTCACACCTGTAATCCTAGCTACTCAGGAGGCTAAGATCTGAGGATCACAGTTCGAAGCCAGCCTGGGCAGGAAAGTCTGTGAGAGGTTTTTATTTGTTTTTGCCATTCCTGAGGCTTGAACTCATTGCCTGGACACTGTCCCTAAGCTTCCTTTGCTCAAGACTAGCATTCTAGCCAGGCGCTGGTGGCTCAGGCCTGTAATCCTAGCTGCTCAGGAGGCTGAGATATGAGGATCTCTGTTCAAAACCAGCCCGGGCAGGAAAGTCCATGAGATTCTTATCTCTAATAAACCACTAGAAAACTGGAAGTGGCGCTGTGGCTCAAGCGTAGAGTGCTCGCCTTGAGCTGAAGAGCTGAGGGACAGTGCCCAGGCCCAGAGTTCCCATGACCAACAACAACAAAAGACTATCATTCTACCACTTGAGCCACAGTGCCACCTCTGCCTTTTTCTGTTATGTGGTACTGAGTTCTTCATGCATGCTAGACAAACACTCTTCCACTAAGCCACATTCTCAGCCCCATGAGAGACTCTTATCTCCAATAAACTACTCAGAAAAAGCAGGAAGTGGTGCTGTGAATCAAGTGGCAGAGTGCTAGCCTTGAGCACAGAGAGGCTCAGGGGCAGAACCCAGGCTCTGAGTTCAAACCCCAGAACTGGCATGCATAATAGCTGGGACCAGCTACAGGTGATTCATGGGTATAATCCTAGCTACATAGGAATCTGAGATCTAAAGGATTTCAGTTCAAAGCCAACCCAAGCAGAAAAGATCTACAAGGCTTGAGCTCCAAAATAAATAGCACAAAGCTATACTAGAGGTATGAGCCCAAGTAGTAGAACACCAGCCAAGCAAACAAGCCAAATAGACGTGGAGCCCTAAATCCAATCCCTGGTATGAGAAAGTGAGGGGGAGCAAGCTAGACACTTACGATTCACATCTATAATCCTAGCTACTTGGAAGACAGAGATTGGGGGATCAAGGTTAACTAAGGCTGATTATTGTTGCATGCACCTGTTATACAGCAAAAAAGGGAAGCAAAATATGAGGAGCACAGTCTACACATAAAACAAGACCTTATCTTGAAAATCTTCAGTGCAGAAATAACCAGCACATGGCAGTGAGTGCCCGCTTAGAAAACTTGAGGGCTTAAGTTCAAACCCCAGTACTGAAAAAAAAGAGAAAGTACTAAAAAATCATAAGGGAAGACAGGCACTGGTCACTCATTCCTGTAATCCTACCTACTCAGGAGGCTGAGATCTGAGAATCTTGGTTCAAAGCGAGTCCAAGCAATAAGGTCCATGAGACTCCTATCTAATTACTCACCTGAAAATCAGAAGTAGAGCTGTGGCTGAAAGTGATAGAGTGCTAACCTTGAGCAAAAGTGCTCAGGGACAGTGGCCCAGGCCTTGAGTTTCAAGCCAGAAAAAAAAAAATTCAAAATTTGAAGCCAGTGTGAACAAAAGTTTAGGAAATATCTCTAACCTTTAAGGTTGAGATCAGAGAGAATTGTGCATCTGTTGTAGCAGACCAGAAGTCTGGATGAACCATGAACCATATCTTGGGCCATTATGATATTTCCTTTTTCTTTTCCTTTTTTTTCTTTTTCTTTTCTGGTTGTGGGGCTAGAACTTAGGGCCTGGACGCTATCCCTATGCTTTTTTTGCTCAAGGCTAGCGCTCTACCACTTTGAGCCACAGCGCCACTTCCAGTTTTCTGGTGGCTAATTGGAGATAAGAGTCTCACCGATTTTCCTGCCCCAGGCTGGCTTTGAACCTGGATCCTCAGATCTCAGTCTCCTTAGTAGCTAGGATTACAGGTTTGAGCTAACAGCATCTGGTTGATATATTGTTTTTCTTGATCATAAATTTGGGATGATGGAGGGCATTAAAAAGAAATTGGTGGTATTAAAACTAACAAGACACTTTCTAGATTCCTGGCTGGTGGCATATGAGAGAACTCTCTTTATTGGCTGTAGAAGACAAAGACACAAGGCCCAGAGAGTGAGTCTTACCTCAGGATCACGCCATGTCATAAATAGCCTCTTTGAGCTCTCATCCTTGACAGGTGCTTTGCATGCTGAGCTCCAGCCACCTGCAAAAGCTTCCCCTTAGTCACTCCTACTATTCCAGCAACATACCTGGTTTTCTCACCAGGGGCCAGACCCTCCACCAGCTGTATCCCTTAAGGAAAGTGCTGGGCCTGAATGTGTACAAAATCCCTTTGGTCTCATATGGCTTGTTTCTCTTCATATTAAAGTTCAGGTGGATACCTAAAACTTTATACAGTCAACCAATATGGTAATTCAAATAATTTTTATAATAAGGATTATGTAATTTTAGTACCAACACTGGAAAAATATATCCAGCATCACTAATATATAGAGAAGGGAAGGGAAGGAGTCTTGTTTAATCACAGGGAATAATCCTTTGTCATTGATTTGTGGTTTGTTTCTTGCCTTTTTTTTGGGGGGGGGGTCAGTTATGAACTTGGGGTTGGGGTTGGGGCCTGGACACTGTCCCTGAGCTCTTTTGTTCCAGGTTAATGCTCTACCACATTGAACCACAGCACCACTTCTAGTTTTCTGGTGGTTCATTGGAGATGAGTCTCACAGACTACTTGCCCAGTCTGGCTTTGCACCGTGACCCTCAGATCTCAGCCTCCTGAATAGCTAGGATCAAGCTTTGTGATAAGTACTGGGAATTGTACACAAGATGAAAGAGAGCTTTTGTTTTAATTTATGTTTGACATTTTAGCCAAGTGAACAGAAAATGTAAGGAAGAGACTTGGAATTTATAACAGACTTGTTATTTATAATCTCTTCACTTAGGTGAACTCCCCCTTTTCTTTGTTTTACAAGTGACTAATTTCATCTATTTTTAAATGCATTTTTTATGAATAGTTTGAATATCTAGCCAAGTCATTGGAAAATGAAATAATTTCATCAAGTGTTGTTTTTTCTTGGTCTTTAAGTTGGATACACTTAAAGAAAACAACCTGAAAAATGTGGAAGAGCTGAACAAATCAAAAGAGCTTCTAACAGTTGAGAATCAGAAAATGGAAGAATTCAAGAAAGAAATGTAAGTTTATGTTCTTTGAAAGAAATTATGGCCCTTATTTTAAATTGCAAAAAGGAAAACTTGCCTTGCATGCATGAGGCCCTGGGTTTATTTCCTCAGCACCACATAAACAGAAAAAGTCAGAAGTGGCGCTGTGGCTCAAGTGGTAGAGCACTAGCCTTGAGCTGAAGAGCTGAGGGACAGCACCCAGACCCAGAGTTCAGGCCCCACGACCTACCGGACCCAAAATAAATAAAACTGCAGAAACTTTGTTTCAGGTTATCTTGTCATATGGAATGGAAGTAGCCTCTCTAAAAGTTGTTAGAAATGTTTATACTTGCAGTGTTGAGGGGAGAACCCAGCACCTTGATTGTGCTGGGCACTGAAGACATCTGCAGCCCCTAGAAATGTTTCTGTGAGTGTTTTCAGAATCAGCCCTGCGTGTCTTGGGGTTGGACTACAGGATCCCTTTTCTCCATGAAGTGCATCTCCCCACTATACACTGGAGACAAGCCAAGTATCCTTGCCTTTGGACTGTGGCATTGTTTTGTTTTGGTTTATGGTGCTTGAACTCGGTACCTGGGAACTATCCCAGCCACAGAACCATTTCTGTTTTTCTGGTGGTTAATTGGAGATAAGTGTCTCACAGACTTTTCTGCCTGGACTGGCTTCAAACCATGATCCTCAGATCTCAGTCTCCTGAGTAGCTAGGGTTACAAGCATAAACCACCATCATCCAGCTAATAACACTTTTTTTTTTTTTTTGCCAGTCTTGGGGCTTTAACTCAGGGACTAGTCACTGTCCCTGAGCTTCTTTTGCTCAAGGCTAGTACTCTACCATTTGAGCCACAGTGCTACTTCTGTCTTTTTCTGCTTATGTGGTACTGAAGAATTGAACCTAGGGCTTCATGCATGCTAGGCAAGTACTTGCCGCTAAGCCACATTCCCAGCCTAATAATACTTTTTATAGATTATTACTATAGGATATTTGTCCTCTTTTGGTTGCTGTATTAGCTCTTTATTTTAATTTGCCTTACGTCAGTCTTTTAATTTAAACAATGACTTTCTAAAGACTTGTAAGAGATGAGAATTGTTGAAAGAGAAGGAAGAGGAATGCAAATATCATTATGACAGGCCACATAATGCTGAGACTACATAGGCTCTGTGTGGAGAGTGCTAGCCGGAAAATATATACTGGCTTAGGATGATTGCATCTTAAGCTAAAATCTTCTGATTTGTCATGGATTGAGGAAATGAAGTTTACCTGCTCTGTGTGTGTGTATGTGTGTGTATGTGTATGTGTGTGTGTACACATCATCCCATTATTAAAATTCTGAGGGCACTCAAAAATAATTCCTTGTTTTTTGGGGGGATGTCAGTCATGGGGCCTGAACTCTGGATCTGGGCACTGTCCCTGAGCTCTTCAGCTCAAGGCTAGCACTCTACCACTTGAGCCACAGCGCCACTTCCAGCTTTTTCTGCTTATGTGGTGCTGAGGAATCAAACCCAGGGCCTCATGCATGCAAGGCATGCGCTCTACCACTGAGCCACCTTCTCAGCCCCTCAAAAATAATTCTGAAGCTGGGTGCTGGTGGCTCACCCCTATAATCCTAGCTACTCAGGATGCTGAGATCTGAGGATCACAGTTCAAAGACAGCCTGGACAGAAAAGTCCCTGAGACTCCTCCAGTAAGCCACTAGAAAACCAGAAGTGGTGCTGTAGCTCAAGTATTAGAGCACTTGTCTTGAGCTGAAGAGCGCAGAGACAGCGCCCAGGCCCAGAGTTCAAGCCCCATGACCGACAAAAAAAAAATAAAAATAAAAAATAAATCTGAAAACACCTACAAAAATATTTCTAGGAGGTAGGAATGTGGGTATATGTACACACATGTACACATACATACACACATGTACATATGTGGGTCAATTGAATGATTGATCCACAGTTAAAAAATCAATCGTTTCAAGCCAAGCACTGGGGGCTTCTGCCTGTAATCTTAGCTACTCAGGAGTCTGAGATCTGAGAATTGTGGTTCAAAGCCAGCTCCTACAGGAAAGTCTTTGGGAGTCTTCTTTCCAGTTAATCACCACAAAGCCAGAAGTAGAGCTGTGGCTCAAGTGGTGAAGTGCGGCCCGTGAGCACAAAAGCTCATGGACAGTACCCAGGCCCTGAGTTCTAGCCTCAGGACCAACACAGAAAATACATTAATCATTCTAGCTTTTGGATAATTAATTACTTGGGGGGTAAAATTCCTTCTCAGTTTTACTTAATTTACTAAATAAATAAAAAATTTCTCTAAAAAGCTCTATTTGGTGTTCCAGGAGAATTTTTGTATAGATTTGTACCCCTAAATCATTAATGCCATCCCAGAATGGCATTTTATAGGTTGGCGGAGAAATAAAAATCAAGAAAATTTAACATGTCAGGCACTGCCACCCATTAGACAATTGAGTTAAAAATAGATGTGTTCATGCATCAGCAGATGGATTTCTACCCAGATGACTGGATTCAGAATTCAGCCCTGCAGCTTGCTAAGTAGAGTTTAATCAGCACAGACATAAAAATTCAAAATTGTATCGAAACCTTCTATAGCATAAAACTAAAATCCATTTATCAAGCAAAATATTTTGAATATCATGTGTAAAGGATAATGTATTCTTACATGTTTAGGGTTAATTTTAACAATAAGAAAATGTTTTATAAATATATGCTTATATGTTGTATACTGATTGTATTCATATTACAATTTAACTAGCAAGTTATATTTTTGTAACTTCCTTTGATTACAAATTAGCATTGTGGAAAGAATACCATCAAAATATAATACCTGTCATTTAATTAGAGGACTATTTCCTTTGGCATTCCATCTCTTGTGTCCTAAATATATACTCAGATTCACGTCAGCAATTGATTCTGAAAGACACTGGTAAATTAGATCATTGTACTTTTACTTCTGCCAGAGAAAAACAGATTACACATCTATACAGCTAGAATAGAGTGCTGTGGCAACAAATTATATCACTTTATTAATGTCATACATTTAACATAATTAATAGAAATATTCCTAAAGACAAAACTGTAGTGACCCTTTCATTTGTCTTTTTTTTAAGCAAAATTCCTTGTTAGAGGGTAAGCGGGGGTGGTGGGAGGGTGGACATTGTGTTTATTAGGTTTAAAAAATGCAGTAATTGTGGGTGGCCATCTCCTTTCGAGATGCTAGTGCTGGGTGGCCTCTCCTACATGTAGCTAACAGTCTCCTGTTGTTATAGACCCTATTGAGCATGTGACCCAGATCTATTTTCCTCAGTGCTGTGAAGCTGGTTGTCTCCCACAGTTTCCTTGCCTGTCTTGTTTCTATGGTAACCGTGCACTCACTGTCCTTGCAGTGAAACCCTAAAGCAGGCAGCAGCTCAGAAGTCCCAGCAGCTCTCGGCATTGCAAGAAGAGAACGTCAAACTTGCTGAGGAACTGGGGAGAAGCAGAGACGAAGTCACAAGTCATCAAAAGGTCAGTGGACCTTTGGTGTAGGGGTTTCTAGATCTGTTGTGCTGACCTCTGTTGCTCTTTTCGGTATACTTGGAGATTACTCAGAGATATATATGGTATGATTGGGCAATTCCAGATGCGATTTCAAGTTACTTGGGCTATATGTCTCCTTGTTTTTAAGCATGCTGCTTTTACATACATTTTAGAATTAATTGACAAGTCCACTAAATACACACACACACACACATACACACACACACACACACCTACACCTGCTGTATCTGATAAGCAAGTAGAAGATAAGATCTTTATTAATCTTCTAGGAAGGCATTTAAGTGCTTGGATTTCAAAATGATTTTTCACTTAAAGTTTTTTTTAATTGGTTTTAAGGAAACCAATTTCAGAATATGGATTTGGTGTGAGGGTTAACAGTTAATTTTAAAGAGAACTCTGCTTCTCTTTAAATTTAAAGAAAATGGTTAAGCCTTTCACTAATAGGCCTGTGAGTATGTGTGCATTCATGTGTGCTGAGACATGTGGAATGTAGGTTACAACTGGGATGAAGCATAATCCATTTGCTCATATTTAAAACAAACAGAGGTTTCTGACACACTTTGATTAAACATGGGAACAGAATTTGTTGTAAAGGACAAAATATTCTGCTTTGTATTCTTCTCTAATGTCAAATCAAAGTACAAAATTATTAGCCACATCGGAGCTAGAGCAGCAGCTTGAAATCACAGCTTTAAGTCATTCAAATCATTCATTATTACTTTGTACTACAAAGGGACCCCCCACACACACACCAATTATACAAGTATCATTTGTAACTTGGATAGAATACTTTCGTGTCACTGTTGAGTGCAGTTTTTGGTGAAAGAACTTTTTGGAGAGTTGATTTCAGACCACAAGGTATTTGTTTTGGCTTCTCAAAGTTTTCCTATTCTTGGGCTGGGTAGAGTGCTTGCCTTGTGTGCATGAAGCCCTGGGTTCGATTTCTCAGCCACATGAGCAGAAAAAACCGGAAGTGACACTGTGGCTCAAGTCATAGGGTACTTGGCTTGAGCTGAAGAACTGAGAGACAGCGCCCTGGCCCAGAGTTCAGGCCTTCGACCAGGGGAAAAAAAAGTGTTTGTATTCTTTTTTTTTTTTTTGTCATGGGGCTTGAACTCTGGGCTTGGCACTATCCCTGCACTCTTCAGCTCAAGGCGAGTGCTCTACCGTTTGAACCACAGAGCCACTTCTGGTTTTCTAGTGGTTTATTGGAGGTAAGAGTCTCTGGACTTTCCTGCCCGGGCTGGCTTTGAACCGTGATCCTCAGATCTCAGCCTCCAGAGTAGCTAGGATTACAGGCGTGAGCCACTGGTGCCCGGCTTTCTATTCTTTAATGCCACATTCTTCAGATTTCACAATGATGTGATGCTGTTGGCTGAGAGTAGCTAGCTCATTGACTCTTACTTTGTGGCAGGCACACCTAGATGTAGCTGTCATTTCACTTAATCCACATTAAAATTTTGTATAACACTCTTTTTATCTCCCGTGTAAAGAGAAAATGTCAGCAAAAAGAAGATTGTGATTTGGTCAATGTTATTTGGCAAGTGGTGTCAAGGGATGTGTGTCATTTTCCGATTTGGGTTTGGGAAAGAATCAAAGAATGTTGACTTACATAGAATCATTGCTGTCCTTTGATCAGCATGTAAGAAATTGGAGTTCGTGAAAAAAAATAGAAGCCCTTTGACCTGAAGAGGTTCTTTTATCCCCCCGCAACTAGCTAGAGCATCTAAAAACATTAATGTATCCACAGAACTTAGAAGATGAGTTAGGATAGTTCTGAGTCTCTTCCCTTCTTGTTTTTGTTTTTCTTTTTCATTTCATTGTCATTTCATTGAACATCTCTAGTTGAGAGAGTATAGTTTATAATAGGAAGAACACAGAGATCACTCTCTCCTGTTGTGACTTGAACTGGACTGATGATTATGTTTCCTATCTCTGTCACTCAGAGCTAGCTATAAGGAACTCTGGAGATCTGACACCTTGAGCATAGGTTTTCAAGGCTCTTCTCCATCCTAACAGCTCTGTTCTCTTTACAGAGGGATTCAGTAGCTTCCTATTGAAAAGGCTTTGTGATTAACAGTTTTAAAATAAGTCATTTTTCAGAGTGCTAAAAAATAGTGCCTCAAAGAAGAGCTAGAAAGTAACTTCTTCCTTTTTTCCCCTTGGACAGTTCTGGGATTTGAAACCTCATGCTTACTAGGCAGGTTTTCTACAACTTGAGTCAGGCCGGCAGCATTTCTGCGTTAATTATTTTCCAGTCTCACTTAAAAATCCTTGGCTGCAGGCTGGGAAGGTGGCTCAGTGGTAGAGTGCTTGCCTTGCATGCCTGAGGCCATGGGTTCGATTCCTCAGCACCACATAAGCAAAAAGAAAAAAGCCGGAAGTGGCGCTATGGCTCAAGCGGTAGAGCACTAGCCTTGAGCTGAAGAGCTGAGGGACAGCGCCCAGGCCCAGAGTTCAGGCCCCAAGACCGGACCAAAAAAAAAAATCCTTGACTGCCTTATACCACAGTCTTCCTACCTATGCCTCCCCAGAGCTGGGACCGCAAATATGAACCACTGTGCCTGTTTTGGAGTGCTGTTTAATCTCTAAAATTAGGAGTTTTTGCTGGCTGCTGGCACCTACCTATTCTTTTCTTCCAAACTTGAAAAAAAAAAAATATATATATATATATAATCTGGTTTCTGCCTTTATTTTTCACCTCACATTTTCCTGACCCCCTGCTGACTGCTGTTTGACTCCTGCAATGCCTCTTGCTGAGTGTTTATGAAGTCCAGGTTCTTCCTTTCTGTTCTTTGTGAACATTTGATCTTGCCACCACCTCTACTCCCCGCTTTCCTCCTTGACACCTTCCTCCTGATGTACTAGTCTTTCTTCAGCATCTCCTGGCACTCCTGGCTCCTACTCTTTTTTTTTTTCTCTCTCTCTCTCTCTTTTTTCCAGCCAGTCCTGGGGCTTGAACTCAGGGCCTAGACACTGTCCCTGAGCTTCCTTTGCTCAAGGCTAGCACTCTACCACTTGAGCCATAACACCACTTCTGGCTTTTTCTGTGTATGTGTTACTGAGGACTCAAATCTAGGACTTCATGTATGCTAGGCAAGCACTCTACCACTAAGCCACATTCCCAGCTGTGGCTCTTCTTCTTCATATGTCTATTTGTGTCTTTTCTTCTCCTCTTTCCCCTGGTGAGCACTTCATCACTGTCAGAAGGCCACCCTGCCTCTACTTTCAAGCTGAGCTGCACCTTTTTCCACAGCTCTTCCTGTGCTCCTTAATGGCATATGTCACCATTCAGACTATGAGAAAGAAGGAATGCTGGAGTGTAAGTGACACGGAGTTAGAGTAAACAGATACACAAGTGTAAAATGAGCATCTTGTTTATGGTGAGGGCCCAGGTGCTTTACAGATTTGAGATATATACTTCATGCCTGCTCTTTCTACTTCACATGATTCCCATTGCCTTCAATCTTATAGCTTTTGTTTTACATAGCTGAGGTTGTTAACAGCTTCTTCACCAAATAAGCAGGGCATTTCTACACATCAATGGTTGAAGTGTTGATGTGAACTTAAGCTGGGTCATGTAGTTTCAAGATTAATGGAAACTATGCAGAGCATTCTTTTCAGGGGCAATTCTAAAAATAATGTGGATTTTCTATAGAAGTCACTTCAGGTGGTCGCATTGGAGAAGTCTGGTTTGTCATTTCTAAACCTCACATGTATTCTACATTGTGAAAAGGAATTCTAAAAATAAAATGATGTGAATTCTTCAATAGAAACAGGCACCTCAAGTGGTCACTGTTGAGATGCTTGTTTTGTCATTTTCAAACCATACATGTATTCCACCTTATAAAGATAGCACATTACTGATCTGTCACTATGGGAACAGTTCCGAATTCCCCCTGGTAATTTGCAAAATAAGGCTCCAGCTTGCTGTTGGAAACTGGACAGGGATTAGATGAGTCAGTAATGTATATCATGAGCAGCTTCCTCAACACAGGTCACAGCAGAGGCAGTGTATAAAAACTAGGGTTAGCCGGGTGCTGGTGGCTCACCCCTGGAACCCTAGCTACTCAGGAGGCTGCGATCTGAGGGTTGTGGTTCAAAGCCAGCCCAGGCAGGAAAGTCTGTGAGACTCTTATCTCCAATTTACCACCAGAAAACCGGAAGTGCACTGTGGCTCAAGTGGTAGAGTGCTAGCCTTGAGCTAAAGAGCTCAGGGATAGCACCCAGGCCCAGAGTTCAAGCCCCATGACTGACCCAAAAAAACCCAAAAAACTAGCATTAGCTCTAAATTGATCTATGAATAATGGATGCCTTTTAAATAGGCCTGATTTCCCAGACACAAATGTTCTAAGAAAGGAAGGCTGTTTTTAACCTCTCATATTATTTTGCAAAATTAGTGATAATAAACTGTCAGAATTCTATCTGCTCTCAGGATTCTGAAATTGTATTACAGAATCTCTTCCTTTTAATACTAAATGATACACAGGGTCTAAAAAAATACCAATTGAACAACGAAATTGTTGAAATTGTTTTGTGTAGCTGGATGGGAAAGTGAGAAGAGGTGAGATTGGAACATATTGTTAACATGTGTGGACAAAAACAAAGAAATCCTTTGCTATATAGCTAAATAAAGTAAAAATATATCTTAGACTAGTGTTAAAGTTCAGTGTTAGAGCACTTGCTTACATCTTCAAGGCCCTGAGTAATGTCTCCAGTGCCACACAAAGGAAAGAGAGGAGGAAGAGGGGAGAGAGGGAAGGAAGGGAGAGGAGACATAGGTAGTTCTCACCTGTAATCTTAGTAGGCTGAAATCTGAGCATCGAGGTTCAAAGCCAGGCCAGGAAGAAAAGCCTTGGAGATTCTTATCTCAGTGGCTCAGTGTTAGCCTAGCCTGTTTGAGGTCATGGGTCTAATCTCTATCATTACAAAAAATAATAATTTAATAAAATAAATGCACAGTACAA